CAGGGAGTTTGCAAAGCATCCCCTGCGCATGCGCAGGGGACGCTCTGTCACTTTTGGAGGGATTTAAGTATCCCCCCAATATTTTATCACGTTTTTAGATTTTTGTGCACACCTGGAGACCACCCCACGTGTGCACAAAACTCTCCCTCCCCTCCAGGTGCCCCCGATGTGCGGAAATAAGTATCCGCACACCAGAGGGCAACTTGGCTATTAGATATATAGATGGTAAGGTACAAGGACCTCTCACAGACAGCACTGAAAATTGCCAGTATCACAGAAAAAGTGTTCTGCAACCAGCAAGCTAAGAGCAATGGAGGGTTTTGTTGGGTTTGGGTTTTTGTTTTTTGCCACTTTGAACATATTTCTCTAAGCACTCCTTCTTCAGAGGCAGTATCGCTTTGAATACCAGATGCTGAGGACATACAACAGAGGAAGGCTGATGCCTACATGCCCTGCTTGGGGGGCTCACAGCAACTTATGGCGAGCCCGTAGGGAAACAGGATACCACTACCTACATCTTTGGAGCTGATCCAGTGAGGCTATAACGTTCTCCATTAATATGATTATAGAAGAATCAGATCACATCTTGATACTGACATTCTATAAATCACCTCTTATCATCTGTCCTTTATATTTCAGGGTACAATGAAAACTCCAGTAAAGGCAGAGGAAGTCCATGGAAGTCTGGCACAATTTTTGAAAGAATCAGTGAACAGATCTTATTTCATCTTGCAGAGGGCAGTTACCAGCAGCACAGTTTTATATTGAAACTCTTTATTATCAACACAGTAAGAATTCAGAGAAATCTTATACACCATCTGTTAATTCATATCCTAAACTTCTGATCTGATTCTCCTTTCACCAAATCTAAGACTGTACGGAACTCAAAAATAAGTCTTGTTTTCTGAAATGAGCATCACTAATTTCTCAGATGCTGACAAGCTCTTTGTTCACCTGCTTATACATAAATTTGCTTCATTTGCAACAAAGCATCCATTCTGAACATGTGGAGATGACAGATGTTTCCAGCTCATTTTCAAGCTTAATCTCATTCATTCCTTTGAAATAAACTTGTCACTTTCTATCAAAATCTTTTCTTTAATAATGTCACCATCCTACTGGGAGAACTCTATCACCTTATTCTCTAACTTACCTGTCTCTTCCAAGAGAAACTAAAGGAGAGACTCCAGCATGAATTCTATTGTTCTATTTATCACCGGGTGGCAATATTTCCAGTATATTTTACTTCTCAAAATGGCAGCAGCCCCTTATTCCTGATAATCCACAGAAGCATATCCAACAGAACTGATAACACTGCTTATTTTAGTCTGAGGCAGGGAGCAGCTTTATCTACAAGTCAACGATTGTGTAAGCCATCTCTGCAGCCCCAAATTTTAAAAAATCACAAAAATGCAACTGCCCTTGTTGGATCAATTTTTGCACAGACGATTTTTGCCACCCTAAGTGAAATATAACTTTTGGACATTTTAATACATTTGAATCTGTAATTTAAAAAAAAAATCAAACAAAAACAGGAACTTTTGAATATCATCCATTTTAATGGACTCTCTAGACTACTTAATGCCATAATGTACTTCAATATGGATGGTAGCAGCAGCCTAAATCTTTACAAGCAATAGTTCTCCTTGGTCTTCATTACAGATGTGAAAGCCTAGGAGGGGGGGGGAGGAATACACCCCCTCAGGCTTCCACCCCCACACTTTTCCACTGGAAAACTTTTAACTGGGGGAAAGATGTTTGTTTCTTTTTGGAACTAGTGAAATGCTTATTAAAATTTTATTTTAATTACCAAGATAATACAGGTAACAACTTATGTTACCATAAGTATCAAACATGTTAATAATAACCATTCCAAATATATTAAGAGAATCTCTCAACTATGCTTCTTAAGGCAAAGTTTTACTTGCTCAATTTTTATGCAAGACAATCTACAGCATCAGATAATATCTCTTAAGTATACCGTAGATACACACAAGTCACAACACATTTTCAAGGATATGTTTACTGTAAGAATAATTTAAATATGAATACTTTTGGCAACAATATGCCACAATGCATTTGAAGATCAGAGGTCAGTGTTTTCAAAAGTGCAAAGTTTAACTTAATAGCCAGTATGCTGAGAGTCCTGCCTGTTGTGTCTATATGAAACTGCTTCTGTCCTGCACTTTCTTTCTTTCCCACAAAATTTCTTTTCAAATTGCTACTTGTCTACCTCTCAGGTGGCAAAAATTATGATACCGCTGCTAAGGCAAAAACAGTGCAACAGTTTGCAGCCCTCTCTTAAGGACTAGACATATCTGCAATTTTGCTTCTATTGCAGAAAATAAAGGCATTTGTACTTTTAAATTCCATAAATATGCTGCTCAGTACAATTTCGTATACCAGCTAAGTTATAAATGATGCATTTTATGCTATAAAAGCAACAAAATAAATTTAGGTTTTGATTGGAAAGTAAGTACTGCATATATTTAAATTTCCTCCTCCCCCATATTTCCATTGGTTCTGGCTAATATTTGGATGGGAGACCTCTAAGGAATACCAGGGGCGTTACGTGGAGGAAAGCAATGACAAACTACCTTACCAGGTCGCTGTTAGTCAGCTGTGACTTGATGGCACTTTCCACCACCCCCAACTCCATTCTACCCCACCCACAAGGGCAGAAACAAAGGGCTAGCCATGTTCGTCTGTTGCAGCAAAAGAAAACAATCCAGTGCCACTGTAGAAACTAAACAACATTTATTTCAATGAGAGCTTTCATTAGTCACAGCTCACTTTCTCAGATATAGTTTGGATCAATTTCCTTTCCTCTTCTTTCTAAAATCTTATTTAATTTCCCAATTCAGTTTATCAATGACTAGACTAGCAACCCATTTAGATTTAGACTCAGAATTAGATGAACGCAGATAATGTGTGAGGAGCAAGTAACGATCCTGTAAAACGTACATGTTCCTCCCATGGAAAATTTGTGTCTCCTCTTTTCTCTCCCAAAGCTACGCACCCTCTGGTTAACTGGATGATTTAAGTCATTTATTTTGCAAGACACACCCCCTGCCTCAGTCCAACCACAAAGGCTCGAATCTCCTCACCTGCCGCTTCAGTTTGCGCTCCTTCTGTGCCCCATAATAAGTGAGGATCTTGAAACTGGGGCACCAGCGCTTGATCTCCATCTCCCAGTTCAGCATGACACTGGTAGGGACAATGATCAAGTGGGGTCCCCAGCTACCTACAAGAGGACAGAATCACAAACATAAAGAATACATGCCTCTACAGACCAAGGCTGCCTCTGTGCCTCACTCACATACTATTCAATGAACAAATTTAGCACTAAAGGATACTCAAGAACTTGCTCTCTGTAGCCCACTCACTCCCCAAACGCAGCCAGGCTGCCACAAAGCAAGTGCACAGAAGGGTCCAAACCTTAGCACTTCACATCGTATGTGTTTTAAAGTGTCATCAACTGTGTCATTTCTTCTACTGCCCTCCCTCTTCCCCCACAAAGTCCCTTACCCACCCTTTTCACAGGCCAGGTGTGCCAGCAGGGAGATGGTCTGGATTGTTTTGCCAAGCCCCATCTCATCAGCCAGAATACCGTTCAGTTTCTTCTCATACATAGTAACCAACCAGTCCAGGCCAATGTGCTGATATTCTCGTAGAATTCCTCGCAGCAGATAAGGGATGGGTGTCTTCACCTGCATGGTGGGAGAAAAGTAATAATGTTTGCTGGTTTTGCCTCCTCCCTTCAGTCTCAACCCACTTGCCCTGCTGGATTTCATTACTCACCTGCGTAGTAGCCAGAGTATAGCCTTTGGGCTGCAGGCTCTCTGCTGCTGCTGCAATGTCAGTGATTTCCTTCTTGGGCCCTGGAGCTGGAGCCGAGTCATTTTCTCCCTCGCCTTCACGATCTTCATCCTGTAACACCTGAGGACAGCATCTTTCAAGAAGAGATGAACATGACCTTGAGACAGAATCGCATTGTATTCTAAGATTAATTCAACCACTGTTAACAGAAGACTTCCCCCTTCTCCTCATACCCGACTGGCTACTGGTGTCCTCTTCTTCTGACTCCTCTTCATACTCCGAGGTGGTAGGCTCTGAAGCCTCAGATGAAGCATCTGACTCCTCCATTTCAAAGTCTGAGGCATAGGCACCAGCATATTTCTGCAGCAACTCTTCCATGGGCAGCTCACCTGCCACAGGTAAAGAAGATGTCACTTTATGCCAACATACTCTGATGAGTTTCTCCTTAGCACTGACAACATCCTATTTGTGTTCAAGCACTCCTCTGGTTCTGTCTCACAGGCATCACAGAGAGGCCTCAGTTGCAGATGGCAGCAGAGGAATTCTTCTTAAGCACTAGCTAAAAACCTGCCACCTGATTCTCTTAAAGTCCTTAATGAGCCCACCCTCCCCATAATTTCAAATAAATCCATTTTTAGATCGCTACAGTATTTTTTTCTTATGGTTTCATGTATAGATACAAATGGAAGGCCCAACTAAACTGACCAACAAGCAGGATTAATGTCAAACATTAAGGGCTCCAGAGCTACTGGAGAAGTTTTTTGGGGGGTATTCCAAGAGATATAGTACTAAGTTGGGGCAGGTGCTTACCCTGGCCCTACGTCCCTTTAAGAGCAGAAATTCTGGGAACGATGGTCCACAGACCTAGCAGACATTCGGAAACACAATTCAGTAATAGGACTAATTGTTTTCAGGGCCCACGGAGTGCAAGTCCAGACCCGAATTTGTCATCATCTCCCCACCCCACAATCTGCCTCCGAACCTTCTTTGGCCAGGTCATCAAGCTCTTTGCTGTGATCCACATCCCCTTCCAGCTTTTCTTCTGCATCTATTGTCTCTTCTTCATCTTCAGCTGTAGGAGGGAGGATTCTCTAGGTTACTACATGAGAGGATTCCAGTTCTCACCCAATCCCAATTCTCATCAAAGTCACTTGATTCCAGGCCCAACACAACGTGCTTACCTTCCTCTTCATTGGCAGTGAACTCCTCATCCTCCTCATCAGGCTTCCAAGGTTTTTTATGCCTTTGAGCAACAGGCTTTGGTTTTCCCTGTGAATATAAGGAAAGAGATGTAAGAAGACAGTCCATAACGGGAAGTCTCTGGCACTGCATGGGCAGACCACCCATTTGGCAGATCACTATTGGGCCTGGGTAAGGAAGAACCAGCTATGGATAGCAAGAGAACAGGGGCTACTATGGGCACCTGCTGACCAATAAATTCTGCAGATACCTGGGGAAGTTTGAAATTAATAGCTGAAATTAAATTAACATTTGAAGTAAAAGGCAACAACCTGAGAAGAAGAGGAGGTCTGAGCATCTCCCTTTCAGCACAACCTACTGTTAACCAACCAGAGGCTGACTCACTCATCCTCCTTTACTGGTTAGCTTCCAATCAGTGTGATTGGCTCCAGTAGGGGGTAGAGTTTTAGCCCAAGCTATTTACTTAGGGATCCTATGAGCAAGCCCAGCTCTGCAAGGTAGCAGGCCCGCTCCAGTGATAAAGTGTCTGGGAACAAGTGAATACACAGGCAAGTTTAGCAGACATGGCTAAGTTTGCAAATGACACTAAATCATTCAGGGCAGTGAGAACCAGGGAAGACTGTGAGGAGCTCCAGAGGGATCTGTCGAGGCTGGATGAGTGGTTGTCAACCTGGAATGTGGGCAAGTGCAAAGTCATGCACACTGAAGCCAAAAATCGTAACTATAAACACACATTGATGGGGTCTGAACTGGTGGAGACTGACCAGGAGGGAGATCTTGGGAGTTGTGGTAGATGACATTTTCAGTGAGTTAACTCAGTGTGCAATGGCAATAAAAAAGGCAAATGCTATGCTAAGGATAATTAGGAAGGGAATTGAAGACAAATCAGCCAGTACCATAATGCCCCCGTATAAATCAATGGTGCGGCCGATTTGGAATACTGTGTACAGTTCTGGTTATTGGGAAAAGTGCAGAAAAGGGCAACTAACATGATTAAGGGGATGGAGCACTTTCCCTATGAAGAAAGGTTAAAGAGGTTAAGGCTCTTGGAGAAATGATGACCAAGAGGTGACACAAGAGGTTTACAAAATTATGCATGGGATAGAGAAGGTAGAGAAAGAAGCACTTTTCTCCCTTTCTCACAATATAAGCTCATGGGTACGCAATGAAATTAATGAACAGTAGGTTTAGAACAGATAAAAGGAAGTACTTTTTCACCCAGAGTAATTAACATGTGGAATTCACTGCCGAAGGAAGTAGTGGCAGCTACAAGCACAGACAACTTCAAGAGGGGACTAGATAAACATATGGAACTGAGATCCATCAGTGGCTATTAGCCGCAAGGTATAGATGGAACACTATGTCTTGGGCAGTGATGCTCTGTGGTGCTTGGGGGGGGGGGCCAGTGGGAGGGCTTCTGGTGTTCTGGCCCTGCTGGTGGAACTCCTGATGGCACCTGGTTTTTGACCACTGTGTGACACAGTGTTGGACTGGATGGGCCACTGGCCTGATCCAACATGGCTTTTCTTATGTTCTTAAGTGCAATTTCTAAGATCAAGGGAACAGGATTTGCTAAGCAACAGAATCTAAATGCACTGCCCCAAGTTTTCGCAGCTAAGACTTGCCCTTAAACCAGCAACACACCTTTAGATTCTTGGAGATGCGTTTCTCTTCCTGCTCCTGTTCCTCTTCACTGTCCTCCTCTTCTTCCTCATTGTCAGAGCTGGAGGCACAAGGGGACGTGCTGAAGGAGTTCTCCAGGATCTGGGGAGGCAGCGATTGCAGTAGTTCCTCTAGAGGCAGTTCACCCTCTTGCTTCAACAGTTCAATCTCCCGTTGCTGAGCTTCTGAGTCATTCCCTTCCTGTTGCTCCTCCACCTCAATTGTCTCCTCATCATCTGACTCCTCGTGGGGTTGGAAGTCGCCATCTGCCAGAGAAGGAAGTGAGTGGTCAGATGCAACCACCCCTGAGGTGATAATTTCTGTGCAAAAGGGGTGGAGACTAGTTTTGCCCCAGATTTGGTGGCAAGCAGGTTGATAATAGGCATGGAAGTTTCCCACCTACAGTAAAATTCACATGTAACAGAAATGAAGCCTGGACAGTAGAAGACAGGCTATGGAATATGCTCCATACTCCTAGTCTTCAGGGAAATCCAAGCAGACCAAGGATTGACAAATTCAGAGTACAGAGCTAGGAACTCCTAGAGTGCTGACCTTCATCCTCAATAAGTTGACTGGGAGGTGGTGGACTAGAGGCAGTTGAGCCAGCATGGGAGCTGCTGGTCTTGCTGGTAACTGGAAGGGTCTCATTGAGGCTCTGGGTCAGCAGATCTGAGTACTTCTCTGTCTGGCCTACTATGAAGTCCAGCTGCAGGTCCAGAGCTTTTTTCCGCTTCTCCTCCAGACGTGACTGCTGTTTGAACTGAACAACCTAAGAAAAGGTAACAAGAGTTCATTTAAAGACCAAAGGCGGTTACAGAGCTTGTTCTTAGAATGCTGGCTAAACTTACTCAAAGCCCACTGCAGATTCTCCAAGTCTAACAAAATTGCTCACATGCAATTATCCTTTCCACTGCAAACATGAGAACCAGAAACTTGCTGAAACCTCCTACGCCAATAAAACCCCAACACTTTTTATATACAACACTGGTGAAAAGCCTTCGAACATACAGTCTACCCTCCCATACACAAGTGCCTTCTTTTTCTTCATTAGACAGGTTAGACTACAGCACACAGAATGACAACTGAAGGGCTGATTCCTGTACTCTGCAGATAGACAAACCACACGAGTACAGTATCTTAAATTTTGTAAGACAGGTACCTTCTCTACATTGCTCCAGAACTGCTTGACCTCTTTGGCGATCGAGGAGGCAATGCGGCGCAACTTGGCCTGTTCCTCTCGTTTGGCGCGTTCCTCTTTCTGCTTCTGCTCTTCATGATGTCTAATCACCATACGCACAACCTTCACACAAAGAAGAGAGGGAAGAAGAGAGAGTGATGCACAGGTGACCACGACACAACATAGATAACCCACTGGTACCACTAGAGTCCTTCTGACTAGATCTAGATTGTAAGGGAAAACCTTCTCTAGCTCATGAAAGGATGGAAACTTTTAGGGATCACGTTACACCGTTTTCTACATTAACAGAAACCAATTTAGATGCAACAAATTGGCATCATTATGAAATGTTAAAATGACTAAGAGGATCAGCAGGGCAAGCTTTTAAGTCTAGCAGAAGCTACAAGGCAGTCCTATGCAACAGCATTTGCCTCTAGAAAGTCTAATATATGAATAAAAACTGGCTGAAGGAGACGGGAAAAAACATGGAGATTGGTGGACAGTTCCAGCAAAAAGATGATACTCACCTTTCTTGCAACTCCCCTCTTCCAGCGGCGCTCTTGGGCGAAGTCAGCAGACAGCCACTGCATCTCCTCACAGAGATAATCCCAGTGCACTTTGGGACGGGCGGGCTCAGGCACCTTGGACAGCCTCTTCATGGACCAGAAACCCTCCTTCTTCATTTCGGCAATGCGGTTCTCAATCTCTGCCTCCTGAAATACAGCGCCAAAGTTAATGAGCGCAAACGTTTCCTCTCTTTGCACTGCAGTGCAAAAGGATGCAATGCACAAGCCATTAGCTTGGATCCTGGGCATTAATGCCTAAACTAAGATGGAAGAGAGGATCCGGTACGTTCTGGACCATGCGCCACTTACGTGCTTGGCCTGCTCAGCGATCTCAGCATGCGTCTTGTCCCACATGCTTGCTGGGTCAGCAGAGGTGTACATCCCAGGTGATACCAGGGTTCTGTTCTGCGTTTTAGAACCATCAAAGCCCAGGTGACTGTCCAGAGAGGAGTCGTGGGTAAGATGTGTTGGCGAGATGCTGCCACTTGAGGCAGGTGAGCCTGAAGAGGCTGGTGATACTGGGTTGCTGCCCGTCATTCTGTCTGATGCAATCTGTAGTGCCAGTGGAAGAACAGAAAAGAGCAGGGGATTAATACAGCAACTTTAAATTCCAGAGGAATGTAACTGCTCTAAGGGCATACTGGGGGGGGGGGGTTAATCTGAGAATAGCATCCCTTAACCCTTCTCCTTGCAGCAATGGACTCCCATATATCATATAAAAGCATTCAAAAATCCATTTTAAAGGCCCACATCAAACTACTGGTCCCCACAAATCTGTAATCTAAACCGTAGGGCCTTAAGAGCATAAGAGAAGCCAATGTTGGATCAGGCCAATGGCCCATCCAGTCCAACACTGTCACACAGTGGCCAAAAATACCAGGGGCCATCAGGAGGTCCATCAGTGGGGCCAGGACACTAGAAGCCCTCCCACTGTTGCCCCCCAAGAACAAGGGGCCTTGCACAGGGATCACCCTCACCTCCAACTCTACCTGTGTGTGCAGCGCATGGTGCTGTTGGGTAGGACTGTTCTGCATTTTAATTCTCTCTTGCTCTTTGCCTCTCGTCCCAATAGCTTCGTTTGTGGTTGTAGTGCTTGTGTCCTTCTCCAGTGCATGCTGGGAACCGGCCTCATTCTGGTCAGCCAGCCACTGGGACGAGCAGTCCAGCTCCTGGGTTCCCTGGCAGCCCAGCCTGCGCTCGGGACTGCCCGTCTCAGAATTAGCTGAAGGAATTCAGAAAGCAATGTCAATCACACAGCGACCAAAGCCAGGCTGAAGAGATCTTAAATAGAGACTCTACCTCCCAAAAACAGGCTAAAAGAAGATTTTTCAGAGGAAGATAAATTACTCAACGACGTAACAAATAATTACCAAACCTGTGCCACTAGATATGCATTCCTCAAGAACAACGGCATCAGTTGTGCCCTAGTGGTTTATCATACCTCCTCCCCAGTTTCACATAAAAGGGGATGGGAGCAAAAAACAAAAATGAATTAGCTTTGTACTCTTTACCCAGCAATTAACCTTTTCCTGGCACAAAGACTTCAATACTTAAAAAAAAAAATTATCTTATGCAAAGTTGTGTAAAAAGAAAAAAGAAAAACCAAACACCTATCTGAAGGGATTTCTATGAAGAATAGACTGTGCAAAACTGTTTGCACAATGAGTTCTTACTATTCCTGCAAACTAAATTGGCCTTGCAAGTTTGTTTTGTTTAACGACACTTAAATGCCCTCAAGCCATTCTCGATCCCCCATAACGATACATGGTTAGCAAGAATGCACAGCTAAATAGTAGTTTCTAAGCTCTCTATGGCAAGCAAACTTTCTGCAAACTGAGTTGAGTCACCTTGAAAGGGTTAGCATATGGGATGCTACTAACCCCAATAACTTTTGTGTTGGATTCATGCTTCTGCATGTTATGTTCTGGAGTACTTTTAAAATCAAAGTAACTTCTTAATTGGGCCAGTTATACTCCAATAGCTAATAGAGTAAGTTTTTAATGCAGAAGGGGGGTTAAAGCACATAAATCACAGCATGAAAAACTATCTATAAGCAAGCAGAACAGACTGGAATTACAGCCCCTTTTACTCTACAGCCTGCAAATTATGAGTGTCAAAATACTGTGCTTGTCTGAATACAGTTCCTAGCACGAGCCAAAAATGTAAGATTAACTGTTGTAGATCAGTAATTAAATACTTAATTACTAACAAGCCAGAGTCAAGTGCTGCCCATTTTAGCTTCCACTGACTGTTTACCTACAACATCATCTCAGTCTTCAGTTTTGTTAAATACAATAACTATCAAGTTGTTACTCTGCTCTTGGCCTTTGAAGGGATCTATGTGTTCTGTTTAGTGTTAGAGTCATCTGATCAACTACCCATCTTCCTTTTTTCAACTGGTGGCTATTTTTCTTCTTCCCTGAAAGCCAGAAGGTAGAAATTGATGCCAGCTCTGCCCACCACCACCACATCTAGTCAAACTTGCAGGACAGTTTACAGAAGATGCAGTGAACAGGCCTTATGATCCTTTCAGGTTATTTTAATTTTGTGCCTCAGCAAGAAGGAAGCAAGTGGTTAAGTCTTTTTATTAATTAAACCCGTACTACTGAAATCAACCTTTTATGTGGCTTTGAAATTTTATTATATGCAGTCAATCTTGGCTAATCCATGATTGCAACAAATAAAGATAAAGATCAAGGCTTGAAACATTAACAGCACCTATTTGAGATTGAAGGTTTTTAAAAAATATCTGCTCTGGTGAATAATTTTGAAGAACTGAAAGCTTGTATATAGCTTGGCTGCTGTAGTTAGTCCTCATAAAAAGAACAGCATGACTTTTGTTTCTGGATTTTCTTTTAACGAACACACATTCAACATTTGTTCCTTATATGAACTGGTGTAAGCAATAAAAGTAGATACTACCACATCTACTGTGTTGATTAAATACATTATCTTTAAATCAGCAAAGCTCAGTCTAGGAAATGCAAGGTTTTTCCAAACAGAGTGGCCAACAATCAGCAGCAGACATCTACAGAAGTCCACTGTGAGCCATTTCAGGAGTGAAAATGAATGGGAGGGATCAGGGCATCATGGGAAAGCAACAGAGACCATATTCAGAGGTTTCATAGTCTGTAAGATGAGTCCCCAACCTTTTGAGCCTGTGAACACCTTTGGAATTCTGATACAGGGCTGTAGGCACAACCACAAAATGGCTGCCACAAGAGGCAGAGTCACCCACAAAATCTCAGGGAGTGAGATCCTGCACAGCTCTAATAATAATACTTTAACATTTCAAGCAGAAGCTCTGTTTAGAAGGATGCCTTTTAAAGTATATTCTTACATACATACAACTTATCTTTGGTCATACAGTCCATATCCTTGTGCTGTGGTGAAAGCTGCTACCAAAGCAACTTTTTAAAAATCCGCACAGCCAATTAGATCTCCGACAGCCAATCCCAATCCCTGTTGGGCAAAAGCCCCACCTGGCCATGCCCACTTTCTAAAAATACCTGGAAGGCACCAAAAAAGGTTTGGGTGGGTACCACGGCATCCAGAGGCACCCCACTGAGGACCCCTGCTATAAGAAATTCCCTAGCAAAACAGAGCAGAAAGGTTGAGACCCAGTGCCTTAAATTAACATAATCAGGAAACTCTGCCCCACATTAGCTTGTATGCGTCTCTAGTACTTTCCCTTTTCAAATGCCACCACCAAGAAGGCGATAAACAGGTTTTCTGTTGTCATCCCAAAATGGAACACAATCTTCACCTTCCTTTATAAAGCTTGCACTTGAAACCCCAACAGTTAGAATATGGCATATCCTAACTCCACAGTCCTATGCACAATAGAAAAGAAACGAAAGTACAGTAAATGTGGACAAGGGCAAACAAGGACATTTATTAGAAAGAGTATAATGGCAAAGGCTTTCCAATTTTTCCCCCCTACACTAACCATGGATTTCTGTCAGTTAGGACACTTGTACATGTATTCCTGGCTATGGTATACCACACCTCAGCAATCATAAAAAAGGGTTACATGTGGCTGTCAGATCTTATCACATTATGAATTCAGACCCATCAATGACCACCGAAATTATGGGCCGAAAAACCACCATGGGAATGAACTAAACCTCCATCTGTACCTTTGTGAGCTGAGAACTCCTCTTCCTTGTCAGGCTCCACTTCCAGGGTTTCGCTTTCCTGGGGAAGACTACTCCTGTAAACAAGGTGAAAGCAATTCCAGGACTGCCAACAACTTTTCTATGATAGCTCTACAAGCATCCATTCCTTTGGCTCTCCACCCCCACCCCTGGTCCTCAACATCTCTAACCAAAAAGCTGGCCAGAACTGTCTCTCCATGATTGTAACGCAGACAGCATGGGGAAAGCCTGGCTGCGGGTTGCAGTGAAGAGTTTTATTGTAAGCACCAGCTACCAAATCCATGCCTATGAGAAGAGGCAAGAACCTGTTTGGGGTGCTGGATAGCAGAACCAATAGAATAAATCCCTCAGTCCCTTTTCCCCTTGAGGATGCTGGGGTGTCTCTGCATGACATATTTTCTGTTCAATAACACTGATACCAGGAATCCATAACCCCCCAAATACTCTGTGTCTGTTCCCTGGCCTGCCTTACCTTTATGGCGCACTCACTTTGGCTCCGGAAGTGTCGATATTCTGTCCATTACCCTGATCTAATTGTCTGGTGTACAGTTTCCTTTGCCTGCTTGATTCTACAAACCCACTCAGTCCTGCAACCGAACTCTATCGCTGTCCTTTTCCATTAGCTTTATTTTATTTTGTGCTTCCCTATTCTCAACTTGGGGTTGTTTGTTCCTATTTTCTTACACAACTGTGGCTCTTAACGTAATATCATTCAACCCACTGTACCTTCCTCCCATTCCTAATCTAGCTACCTAGAAATTCTACATCTCTGTTCTGATCTTGCCAACCCTATACCCCGTGCCAGCACATCACTCAGCACCTTTCCTTCCACTGCCAATGCTGGTACATTTTCCTTCTTCACATGCTGCCCCAGCTTCAGTCCCTTCCTCCCGATCTGTCCCAGAATGACACTATCCCGAACTCTTTCCAAACTCTCAGACATCTTTATCCCCTTCACCTGCAAACCATTTGGGCCTTCACCCCACATTGCCAGCCTCATTGCTTTGTATTTTTTTATTGCTATGCCCATCACTCCATCACGCCAATCTTTCAATTCTTGCTTCCCTCTTAAGAGACCAGGACTCTGCCTCTCTGCTGACAACTCAGGACTCCCTTCTGTTGCTGAGCCATGACCTGCTACAGAGAGCGGGGATGGTGTCCGTTCTGGTCCCAGCACCTCCTTTATCCAATGCACTTCTGCTGATCTGCTTGAAAGCCCCAACACCCTGCTTCTTGTGACAAAACTTGGGGGTTCAGGTGTGTGTCCTGCAGACTTGGTTGTACCTCGACCTATAACCACCAAGTCATACTGTTCGTTTACTTTTGCCCGCAATGGCCCTAAAGAAAGCCCATGACCTTGCCCTAGCCTTGCAGTCCATCCAGATCTGGGCCTTGGCACTTCATAACCTTGGGTCAGCAGCCCACCAAGTGGTGGTAATTGCTCTTCTTCTAGATGCTGCTGGCCTGCTAAGAAACGAGTATCTTTTCCTAGCATATCCAACGTCATAATTTCCTGTTCCTGCTTTAGTGCATCTCCTTGTTTCTGATCTGACATCCCTCCTGTCTCCTCGAACAAAGGCACTTGCCGACTCTCCTTTGCCCAGAACTGCCTCTCCTCTGAGAAACATGACATTCCTTCTCTTCCAATTCTGTGGCCAATGAGGACTACATCTCTATCCAGCTTTGCTCTGACCCCAACATGCACCTGTTCAGCTGATCTTGTCCCCCTCTCTTCTACAGCCCCCTTTTCCAGCTGCTTATGATCCTGTTTTGTCAATCTGTTCTGCCCAGTTTGAGCCTGTGCAGTTAAGCTGGTTATAATTAATCCCGGAGCCCTGTGTTCCAGCACCCCATGAATGACTCCTGCTGACCGTGTCATCCCACAATGTGCTATCCCTCCTGGCCCTTGCCGCAGTCCTGCCAACCCCCGAATTCTTTTCCCTTGACTTCTGTGATGTTGGTCTAGTCTGCCAGGGTCAGTGACTGGTGACAAACGAGATGACATCGCTGAGGCCGATCTAGCCACTTCTTCAGGTACCATCAAGCTTGGTGATTCTACTTTCCCTTGATCCAAATCTTGATCCAAACCCATATCTGCTGCAGCCCAGCCTACTTTACCCAACACAGCTGCTTCTTCTATACTTGGTTCAGCCATCTTCTCAACTCTTTCCTGAGACAATCCAAATACTCCCTCCTCAGTTTCCACCCCAGTCCTCTCCTGTTCTGCCATCTTCTTTTCCAATTCTGGGCCCAACACTGATGCTTTTTCCTGAGCCAATACCATTATTTTCACAGCATCCCTTGGATACTCATGCAGTGCCTTCTCACCCACACCTGCAACCTCCAGTCTCTCCTTCTCCGATCCCACCCCTTCCTCAGCCTTGTCCAGATCTGCAGCAGGTGCCACCTTTCCACCTTCAGTTTCCTTCCAGCGTCCTAGCTTTTCAGCTTCTCCCCACTCTGATCCTGTAAAATCTCCCACCTTCTCCTCATCAAAAACCAATTTCTTCTCAATTGCTCTGGTCCCTACAATGTCATACTGCCCAGGTATTTCCTGCAGACACACACCTGATGTCTTTTGCATTTCTACGACCACTCTTGCCTCCCCATGACTTACTGTTGATTCTGTCTCTCTTTCTCTGCTCACCCACCCTGCCTCTTCTCTAATCACAGCCTGATCCGCTGCTGGTGCCATCTCCTCCTTTCCAGCCACCTCTGCAGATTTTTCCAGGCTTGCCACTAACAAATCCTCAGGCATTGTAGGTACCACTTCTCCCTTTGTGCTCACCAGCTCTGCCTCTTTCTGATCCACTCCTAGCAATTCCTCAGTCTTCCTATAATCTACTGCTGGTACTATATTATCCTTTCCAGGCATCTCCTTGGCCTCTCTTTGACTGGGCCCCAACAAGTCCTCAGTTTTCCCCATATCCATTGTCGCAGCATCCCCCACGTCCACTAATGATAATAGATCTTCCTTCCCAGTCACTCCCTCAGCTTCCTCCCAGCCCACACCTGCTCTTACATCTCCTTCCCCACTCACCCCCTCTGTGTTTTCTGCTCCTGGTACTTCCCCAGCTTCCCCCTTGTCCAAGGCTGGTATTACATCCTTCTCTACAGTCACCGCCTCATCCTCTCCCTGATTTCCCCCCAAGTTCTCAGTCACTGCTAATGCCACGTCTCTCTCTGCAATCGCCTCCTTGGCGGCTTGCTGAGGGGTTCCTGGTACTTCCTCAGCCCCCACTTCATCCACTGCTGGTGCCACATCCTCTTTGAATTTCTCCTCCTCAACTTCTCCATCAGTTCCCTCAAACAATGTCTCAATTCTTTCTGCCTCTCCCTGATCAACTTCTGGCATCTTGTTTGCAATTGCCTGATCCAGTGCATCCTCTTCTCCCTTTTCACTTGTTTTCTCAGCCCCCTCCTGATCTGGTCCCAACACCCCAGCTTTCCCTTGGTCCACAGTTGATATCCCAAGGTCTTCTCCAGCCAACACCTTAATTTCCTCCTGAACTGGTCCCACCAATTTCTTGGTATCCCTCTGCCCCTCTGCCAGTGTGACATCTTCAACTACAATCACACCCTCTGCCTCTTTCTGATCTGTTCCTGGCATCACCTCAGCTTCCGCTGGGTCTACAGCAGGCTCTGCATTGTCCTCCCACCCTGTTACTTTTTGGGTGTCCCTCTCACTTAAGGCTACCAAATCTTCAACGTCTCCCTGAGCTGATTCAACTTTTTCTGCACTCCCTCCCTCTGGCTTCCTCTGATCTGGTCCTGGCTCCTCCTCAACTTTCTCCATTGCAGGTACGACATCCACCCTGCCTGTCATCTCCTCAACCTCTCTCTCATCAAGTCCCATGAACGTCTCATGCTGATCACCTTCTGTGCTCCTTTCTTCTACACCATCCATTTTCAGTAACTTTTCTGCTTCATCATGATCTAGCCTTGACAATTCCTCGCCCTCCTTTTTACTAATTTCTAGTGTTATTATTTCACCCCCTTCAGTCACTCCCTTTTCTTCCGTTGGCACAGACTTCTTGGTTTCCACCTGATCCAACACTGATGAAATACCATCACTTTGATCTGGACTCAAAATGGCAAGCTTCCCATCCCGTCCTACTCCCTCCATCATCTCTGATTTACTTTCCTCTTCAACATCCTTGAGATCTCCATGAGCCAGTCTCCCCAGCTCTTCTGCTTTCCCCTGACTAGATTCTCCCACTCCCCAAACCAGACCCGATACCATCACTCCTTGGGTCACTTCCTCAACCACCCTCTGAGCAACTTCTGCCAAGCTTTGATATATACTCTGGCTTGCCCCCACCAAGTCCTGTGGTTCCTCGGGATGAAACACTGGCATCTCCTCCTCCATGACTTCACTGCTTGATCTTTCCATCAGGGTGTCTTGATTCATTTCTCCCTCATCTACACTGTCACCGTCTTGGGGACCTACCTGCTGTTCTTTAGACTCCATGACTACAGAACTTTGTTTTGACTTCTGACCTCGTTATTCCAAACTTTCTATACCGTGCAACAGCCTTAAAATCCCCTCCCGGTCCCTTTGTATTTGTCCCAAATCATTCCCACCCTTTACGCCCTTGGAAACCCCAGCAACTTTCCCACCCTAATGCTTTGTAACCTCGCCAGCCACCTTTCCAAGTTGCCGTGCTTTTTCTGCAGTTCTTGTTCCTTTTGTCCTCTCTCCTCCTATGCAGATCGCCTTTGGCTCATAACCCCCCGCTCTTCGCGTACCCTGTGTCCCTAACCAACGACCCTTCTGATCCCCACTGCTCCCCAGCATAAATTCGATGCCTTTTGGTTTCCCCCTTCCCCGCAGCCCCTTTGTCACCCTTCCCCTCCCTTCCCCCCCGCCCTGTTTCCCCCAACTCCTCTTCCCCCCCCATGCGCCCTTCCCTTCCCTCCCTCGCCCCTTCCCCTCACGCTTTCCCGGCTCGCCCCTCCCCCATCCGGGAAGGCAGCGGGCGGTTGGTCGGCCGGTTTCGTGGCGCGCGCGAGGAAAGCGCGGGCGGGGGTGTGAGAGGGAGACGGATTGCCCGCGCGCAGGCCAGCATTGGCCGGCCGTTGCATGGACCAAGCGCGCGCGCGTCCTCACACTGGCTCGTTACAAACTGCCCCGCCCCACCACTCTCCGCTCGTGCGCCCTCTACAGGCAGGGGGGAGCAGCAGAAAACAGGTGGGGTACAGAGAAGTGAAACGCGGAGCGGGGGGGCGCGCGCCCGCACGACCGCCGCTCCTGTCTCCGAGGCGCACGCGCGGCTTTTCTACTCGGTTTTCTCACTTTTCCTTCCCAGGTCGAAGCGGAGTATCGCACCCGTCCAGCTAAGTGGGTGTGAGCGAAGAGAGCAAAGGCCCAGCCGGTCCGCCATCTTACCTGGGTGGGAGGGGGGAGGAGTGAGGGGAGGCGCCTCCTGCCCCGCCTCCTCCTGCCGCCGCCTCAGCCCCAGCGCCGCCGCCTCGGCCGGATAGAATCCACCGCCATCCGTGGCCCCCAGGCCGCCCCTGTTCGGCCTCTCCCCTTGCGTGGTCTCTGCCGGTGCTACTCAGGACCTCGCCGACCCCTCCCACCCGGATGCTGATCCCTAACCAGGCCCCGCCGAGGCAGACCCGACCCGCCGCAGCAAAATGGCGGCCGCCACCACCAAGCGCCAGGGCCCACCCCCTCCCTCCTCCCACAGCTCCCTCCGCCCGCTGGCCTCGGCATACAAATATCGCGAGAGCTAAAGCAACGGGACGGGGGAGGGAGAGAAACGCCAAGGAGGCTTCTTACACGGCAGTCATGTGGAGTAATGGGGGATGGAGTCCGAAGGAGAGACTTTGTCCCGGGGACTGCGGGACGCCGAGGGCTTGTTCTAATAACAAAAACAGGAGTCGAGTTCCTTCATACCCGGCGTGGAGTTCTAGATAATGCTGGGAAGTCTGGGCCTTCCCTTTCTCTAGCCTGAGAAACGTCCCCGCCGAATGGAAGGAGACGTTCAATTTGCAGAGATATTTTTCGATTGTTCGGCCAGTCACGACCAATGCTCCCGGCTCTAAGCTATGGAGTCTTGTGAGCAGGAATTCTGCTTTGTGAGCTACTGGCATTAAAGATGTGAGCGAGCGATTTGGCTGCTGCATAAATTAGTTTGCTCTGGAGCCCTCCTTCCCGAGCGGCGACAGAAATGTGTGAGCTGGAGGCTAAAAAACTGTGAGCTGGCTCGCACTAACAGCTTAGAGGGAACACTGGTCACGACCGTTCGACTTCCTGTTGTCTGCATTTATAAATGACATTTGCAGTCCTCAAAAGTTTTCGATCAACGGAGTATTATTGTAGATTCGTGACGTGTTCGGTTAGATGACTTTCATGATGAAGAAGCGTTATTTGCAAAGTTTCGGGCTAAGGTTAACGTTTGTGCATGCTTTGATTTTTTAAAAAAAAACGGTCCTAATTTCAATACGAAAAATGTAAGGGAAGATTACGTGTAAAGGAAATCACATTGGGCCTGTTGAAGAGGATAATATAAAAGTAATATGGAGAAACTGTGCAGTGCAGTGCAAACCTTTGCAGTTGCTCCAGTCTAAGCCCATTGATTTCTGTGGGTTTAGCGTGGAATACCTGCATAACAGTTGCACCGTTAGGCTTCTTACTGGCTACCCTCATTCAAATGAAAGGGTTTTCCAGGACTACAATAGCAGCTGCAACCACTGGATGGTCAGAAGTACCGATAAGCCAGTGTATGGTTCCATTCCCCCCTTTAGGTTTGACCAACAGTTGCCATGAGCTTTTTTTGCAAAGCACAGAGCAAACTTTGTCCTAATCTTAGAGTCCAGAGGGGTGGGAACTGTTGACTGAGGGGAGAGAAGTATGACAGAGTAGAAGCCCACCCCCTTCTCCAGGTTTGCTGTCCTTCCAGGGGCCAGGCCACGCTTCCAACCGAAGTACAGATAATAGTAGCCTTGACAGATCAAGGGCCAGACACTGAAAAAGGTAGCTTTGTGTCTTCTGCTTAGTTGCCATGCGATTATTTTGCAAAGCAAGGAGTATTTCAGTTGCTTAAAATATTTATTAGCTGCCTTTCTTCCTACGTAGCTCAAGGCGGATTACAGTAATAATCAGTACATAAACAACATAAAGCCAAAAATTTTAAATCACAATTTAGGATTGCTTTAATTAAATGCATTCCGAAATCAAACACTGTTTGGCTCCTGTGGCAGCCATTTTGGGATGACACTCACTTTCATAATTCCAGAGATACCCAATCACTAAAAACCTCTGCACTAGCAGTTGATTTGGTCAGGCAGGCAAGGGGAAAAAGCAATGAATTCAGCAGCCAGGGGAATCTAAATGCTCAATCAGAAGTTACCACAGTTAAGATACCTTGCCTCCTGTGTGTGCCATTTTTCTTATCTAATACAGAAGCTGAAAACTGGGCCAACATCAGGTTCAGAGGTGGCCAGGTCCTGAGCGAACACTTGTACGAATTAACTAATCCGTCAGGTGTAAACACAAAGAGTACAAAATAAAAAACGAGGCCTCTGGCCTTGGAATTATGGGGCCACAAGCCAAGAAAGAGTCGTACATATAATTGATGACAGTGGAGGAGGGGGATGCCCCTAAATACCACCTGAACTCTCTGGGAAGATAGAAATCCATTCACTTTTGTATTCTACGTATTCATGCATTTCATGATCTTAAAGTTGTTAAATAAATGGTGCCTTATCCAGGGTCAGGCCATGGGTCATCTAGGATAGCAGCAGCAACTTCAGTGGGCCGCTTCTTAGGATGGCCATTCACTAGGCCTGGCAACAACAGGGTCTCCAGGCAGAAAAATCTTTCCAGGTCCAAGGATTGTGCCTGCAGCACCTGGGCCTGCGAACACAAGTCTGCCCAGCTGCTCACTGGCACTAGACCTCCCCCCCCCCGCCCCCGAACAATCAGTAAAAATACATTTTAAGTTGGATCTTTCAGAGGATTTTGTATTGGCTGAATGGTATTCAGCCATTTTGTTATGGTTGAATGGTACACCACCCACTTTTGCATGCAGAACACCATAGATTCAATCACCAACGTCTGCAGTTAAAAGGATCAGATAATAGGTGATGTGAAATTCCTCCCCTTGGGACTGTGGAGACTGGCTACTCTTGCCAGACAGAGTAGCCAGTAATGCCCAGATTAGCAGTCTGACTCAGCAGAAGACAACTTTTTGATGTGTGTGGAGTCAATTGTGAATGTACTTCTATTTTTATTACAGAAAATGGAGGGCTTCCATTAAGTATTGATTTATTCAAATAATTAGGGACTTATGGGTCTGTTGGTTGTTTTGCAGGCAATGTCAGTCTTGATGCTCTGGTCCCTCTTGTGGCCATGGGAGGGTGGCCTGTGGCTATGACGAGAAGGAATTGTACACTTGGTCATTTCTAGTAACTCAGGTTCTGGTTTGGATCCTGGCTCAGAGACTCATACAATCAGGCCATTTTCTTTAAAAGTAGCTCCCCATTTAGGAACTTAAGATGGTCTTTCCCCCCCTGCCAGCCTTGACCTTGCAACGTCAAGGTCCACTCCCCTTTCCTGGCCAGGGCATCCAGTTCTTCCTAAACAGCAGCAAGCAGTGCAGGGAGTTCCCCTCCATCCAGGCTGGCTCATTCCTCTTGCTTCCTGCAGGTTGGACAGAGCACACAGCAACCAAGATGGCTGCCCAGGAGCTCTTTCATAGGCTAGAAGCCTTCCATTTCACTGAGTGACAGCTGCAGGTTTGGGAGCAGGTTTTCCAGAAGACTCAGCATCCAAGTTGCAGGCAGTGTAACAGGCCTGTTCTCCACCTTAGAGAATAGCAAATTCACTATGCCACAGCAAAGGAATAAATGTGAAAAGGAGACCTCGCTATACTGGTTAATCCAGTCCAGTTCTCTAAAAGTAAGGCGTGGGGCGGCAGGATATAAATCTAGGTTTTCGACAGCGCATTTTCTTAGAACATGTTGAACTGTTTTCTCTAAGTCATATCAGTTAACTCTGCATTCACAAGTAACTACTGAAGAGACCTGGCCTTCCACAGGTGCATGGGGTAAGGGAAAGGGTGTGCCATGACGGCTAGTAGCTACCTCTGGGCCTGTCCTCCACGTCTATGCCTGTGGAGCAGCTTGTGGCCATTAATTCCACAGACTAATATACAGGGAACATAGACTGACCAGAAAACATACATTGTTTCAACATTAGGGACAACTGTGCTCAAAACCCCACTTTACCACAAAGCTCACGGGGTGACCTCTGGCCAACTGACTAACCCACTTTTAAGGTTACTGGACCAAAGACACCACCTCAAGCTCTTTGCCAAAAGGGTAAAAATGAAATCTTTATAATTTGGGCATATAATTTCAATTTATCCCGTATATTATTGGGGGAGGGTTGCCTTCGGGGGCTAAAAGGTTCTACACCTGTTTGCTCTCCAGTTCTAAAACTCAACGTGAAAGATGGGAGAATAGAGAACCCATTTTCAGCAGCTAAGGGCGGGTTCAACATTTACCCTTAAAAATGAAGGACTGGTGATGAGACGGAGATGATACGACTTTCCACTGAACCAAAAAATGAAGGACTGGTGATGAGACGGAGACGATATGACTTTCCACTGAACCACTGCTGGCTCTGTCTTAATGGTATCGGTTTCTGCATCTCCCACACTACAATTCCATTTTCATAATTTTAGTCTGATGAGGAAAGGTTGAAGGAGCTGGGTATGTTTAGCCTGGAGAGGAGACGACTGAGGCGATATGAAAACCATCTAACAAGTACTTGAAGGGCTGTCATATAGGGGATGGTGCAGAGTTGTTTCCTGTTGCCCCTGAAGGTCGGACTAGAACCAACGGATTGAAATGAAAACAGTTTTTAGCTAAATGTTAGAAAGAACCTCCTGGCAGAGAGGTTCCGTAGTGGAACAGGCTTCCTCAGGAGGTGGTGGGCTCTCCTTTTTGGAGGTTTTTTAAACAGAGGCTAGATGGCCATCTGACAGCAATGCTGATTCTGCAAACTTAGGCAGATCATGACAGGGAAGGCAGGAAGAGTTGCATCAGTGCTTACTTCTTGTGGCCCTTTCTTACACGCCCAGGGATTTGCTGATTGCCACCTTGGGGCCAGGAAGCAATTTTCCTCCAGGCCAGTTTCGCCAGGGATCCTGGAGGTTTTTTTGTCATCTTCTGGGCATGGAATGGGTAGTTGTGAATTTCCTGCATTGTGCAGGGGGTTGGACTACATGATCCTGGAGGTCTCTTCCAACTCTATGATTCTATGATAATATTGTGTTCTCCTGGATGGTCTGGGGAGCAGGACAAAATCTGCATTGAGCAGCACATAATTTGGAACGACCTCTTAATCCCGGATGCTTTCCAAAAATCCAGACGTCCCCTTGCCAGAAATCCCTTTCTGACCCTATACGACACTGCTCCTCCCCCCCCCCCCCCCGAAACCAGGAAAGAAGGCCCACCACCCCCCCCCTACCTGGAATGCAGTCCCAACCCCCTCCCTGTCCCGATCCCCCCAGACAAACACACAGTCAGGAAACAAAAAGGAATCCAGAAGCACCAGTTTGGGGTTTAATTAACCAACCTGGGGAGGAAAGGGCAGTGGGCAGATGCGTGGCACCCTCCCTGCTGCACCTTTCCGATCAATTACAGAAGGACGGGGGAAGAGAGGAGGAGGGATCGGATACAGGTATAGAAAAGAGCAGTACAGTAAAAACAAGGGGAGCCAGAAGGAAGGAGAAGAGGGAGCAGAGTCACTTTTAAAATCACAATCTCAAACCTTTTATAAATGTACAAAAACCTTTCCCCACCTGCCAGGGGCAGAATATATAAATATGTACACTGCCTGGTGGGGGGGAGGTGCCCCAAGATACAGTCCCCCCTTCCCCTGAAAGCAGCCTTCCCCTCAGTCCACGGAGGGAGGGAGAACACACCCCAACGTTAATTTCAGCCCAGCAGGGATGCTGGAAGCAGACACCAAATCGTTTAATGATTCCCACAGCTGGGCAAAGGGAGCTTTGAAAGAAAGCCGGAGACAAAAACTAAGGGCCTCCCAAGCCTGGACTCTCGCCCCACTCCTCCACCACCCCCAACACTTCCACGAGACTACTTTCCTTAAGTCTTTTTGTCTGGGGCAGGAAGGGTCCCCCAATGCTCAGAGCTGAAGGGAGCCAAGTCCTTCTGGGGTGGCGGCGGCAGCCTTCCTCTCAGGCGAAGGTGGCAGGAGGCCAGACGTCAAGTCCCAATAATGTGGAAGGGGGTCTACATCTCTGGCCAGGGCCCAGGCTGGAGACAAGGGAAGCTGCTTGGTGCAGGTACTCATGTTCCAGGGCCCCACTGTAGCACCATTATCTGGAGTCCCGGTCCTTGTAGGCGGCTGCCAGTTCCCGGATGTCCGGGGCACGCCTAGGGGAACAGGGCCGGGCATTTGAAGCTGGGATGAGAGGCGGAGGGGCGCTCAGTAGTCCCACAGCGGTGGCGGCAGCCGTTGGGGTGGCTTTCGCCAGCAGCCCATTCTGGTGTCTGGGATAAGCCATGAGGCTGGCGTGGGTTGGGGGGGGCAGGCCGTAGAGCCGGGCCCGTTCATACTCTTCAGCAGTGGCGGCGGCAGGCGATGGGGTCTCCAGAAAGCGGGGCAAGCGCTGTAGCGGGTGCAACTCCAGACCCCGGTGGTAGGGCTCACGCCAGGCTTCGAGTGCGGCATAGGAGGCGGCCGGAGGCGGGCCGGCTACCAAGTATGGGGAGACGCTTCCGCCAGTCCCGGCCTGGGGGCGCTCAAACACAGCCAGTGTCCCCAGCGGGTGGGAGACATGGAGGGTGCTGTGAAAGGAGGCCCCCGCACGCAGCGCTCCCTCAAACCCCGTCAGCTCCGGCTCTTCCTTCACTTTCACTTCCTTCTTCAGAGGCGGCTCCGGATAGGGTGAGCGGGAGGCATGACTGGAGCTTGCTGGGCTTCCATAGCGGTGCTCACGCTCTGCTGCCCCGTGAGGGCGGCCCGGAGGCTCCTCGTGGGCCAGTGCTGGGTTCTTTGGGGTGGGCGTAGCTGGAGAGGCACGCAGTGGATGGCGGGAGAAGAGGGCGTCTCTGGAAAAGGCAAGCAAAAACCGGACATTGGCTCTTGGCCCTCTCATTTATCCTTTGACTCTTTCCCATGGCATCCTACTGGCCCACACTGTTCCTAGCCCGATCTTTGTTTCTCATTGGCCCGATTTTTTTTTCTCCCCCCCCCCCCCCCCGGTCAAAATAATCAACAGTAGCAGTGCTCACGCAACCTAGATGTTTCTGTTGTGAGGATCCAGGTGGGGTGAAAACCTCCCTGCATTGTTTTCGCTGCTCAGTACAATCCAGTCAAATCCACTCATGCCCTGAAGCAGCCAGTCCCCTCCTACCCCCAAACAGAACGCGCTTGGGAGAGGACATCAGAAGCCCAGGCCCCAGCCCCCGTGGCCACCTCCTCACGCCCTGCCTCTCACCTGTCCTTTTCGTCCTTGATCACTGGCCCTTCTGGCTTCTCGCTCTCCTTGTCATGCTGGCTACCCCCACGCTCAGCCCCGTCTCCAGTGCCACCTTTGGGCCAGGGTGGGGCCGTGGGGAAGGAAGGTGGCGTGCGGTGCAGGCGGTTCCATGCTTCATGGGGGCTGGGGTAAGCTGGAGCTCCAGGGCTGTCCTTTTGCCCAAAGACAGAGGCTGGGTCTGGGAGGAAAGCAAAATGTTCAGACTGGATAGGCTAGAGGTGGCAGGAGTGCACGTGGGAGGGTTCTTTGGAGAGTGGGGCAGGCACTGTAGCCCCTCACAACTCCTGCCCAGTGGGATACATAGCAATGCCCTCAGACATCTGGAATTGCCAGAGTAGCAGCCTTCCCCTTTACGGACTAGGTTCCCAAGGGCAGAGTTTCTGTTATAAGGAGCATTCACAACAAATCATCCCCCTTATAACTTGTGGTTTATGATAGCTATAAATCCAGATGATTCTACCCTTTGCTTCTTCTGAACCTGTGGATCAGCCAAAACCTCAAGATTAGCCACAAGGTATAGATAGGAGCTCTCAGTCTGGGGCAAGGGATGCTCTCTGTATTCTTGGTGCATTTGGGGGGGGGCAGCAGTGGGAGGGCTTCTAGTGTCCTGGCCCCACTGCTGGACGTCCTTGATGGCACCTGGTATTTTTGGCCACTGTGTGACACAGAGTGTTGGACTGGATGGGCCACGGGCCTGTTCCAACATTTGGCTTCTCTGATTTCTCTTATGACAAAAAAGAGGCAGAGAGCCTGGCTGAAGCCCTCGGAGAACAGCTACACAGAGCAAGCAGATAAATTTCTTTGATGCAGAGTCTCAAACAGCTTCTCGCATACCACATCCAGAATGGCCAAGGGACAGACCTATCGATAATATAGGTGTATCACTGCTCACCTCCCTGGTGGTTCAACTGGCCCCTCTGTTAGAGCGAAGAGAATAGTGACTGGGTTGGAGGCTACAGCAATGCCACAGGATATCAACACCGCCACATATGCCCAGAATCACCAAAGACTCAGTGCAATTTAGGAGTGGCGCATCTGGCTGCTGTTGGACTGGAGGTCATGAAGGAGGTTTGATTGGCACCCAGTGACTAGTGGCCTGAAAGAGGGATGGACTCCGCCAAATTCACTGGAGACACCCCTCTAGGGATCAGCTTCACTGTGCAGTGCCCCTGGGCATCTTGCACTGCACCCCAGGGAGCCTGTCAGCACTTTGCGTGGCAGGAGGCGCAAGCTGAGAGGCAGATTCGTATTCAAAATTCTGCCCAGTTCCTTTTCTAACTAGATAAAGAGGGTGGGAAAGAATGTAACTGGGGATCACACCAGGAACAGAGTTACACAAGGTCCTCGCTACACATGCCCTGCTTGTGGAGCAAGTGGAAGGTACAACCCTCTCAAGGGTACTCTCCTTTCCCTGACGGCAAGCGCCAAGATTGGGGGGGCTGAGGAGAGAGAGAGAAGGATAGGAGCCAGCAATTCCTCTCCATCTTCAAGAGTGAAGGGAAGGAATGGGAGTCAGGAGTCCTGGCTTCTGCCTCTGCCAGTCAAACGGGCACATTTTCCTCAATCCCTTTAGTAGTCTTAAGCAAATCCCAAGAAACTACTTTCTGGCCCTTTAACAATCGCCCTGTGTCCTGTCCCTTGAGCAATACTTACTGAAAGATGGGTTGCCCAAGCCCCCAAAAGCTCCGTTGGAGAGTGCTCCCAGGGAGGCAAAGCTTGCAGGTCTGCCAAAGGGATCTGCAAAAAGAGACCAGCGGAGGAGTGAGCAGCCATTACAGAAGCCTCTGAGACCTGCCCTGCTTGACCCATCCTTCTGACCCATCACTCTTACCAATGTGGGGGCTGGGGCTGAGGAAGGAACCGTGGGGAGTGCTGGCAGGACCAAAAGACGAGCCACTCCCTGGGTGGACAGCACCTAAAGGATGGAGGAGGGGTGAAGAGGAGAGACTCGTTAATGGCTAAGGAATCTGGAGAAACAGCAGATGCTGGCCTATCAGAGGTGCCATTACATCACTTAATCAGTGCCTTTTGTTGTTTTTTTACAGTCTATTATATTTGCCCCATAATCAACAAAACAGAGCCAGATGCTGGCCTATCAGAGGTGCCATTACGTCATTTAATCAGTGCCTTTTGTTGTTGTTTTTACAGTCTATTATATTTGCGACATAATCAACAAAGCAGAGTACAATCCTACACATGTTCAGATACAGAGACTGGAAGAAACAGCTTGCCTGGGAAACCTGTTTCACCTGGGAAGAATTTCTAAGGAAGCTCACTAAGCTCACAGTCTCAGGGAAGTACAAGCCAGGAAAGCTGGCCAATTGGGTGGGCCAGAAGACACTAACCAGCTGTTGTGAAGAGGGTGGCGGGACGTGCCAGCTCCTGGCTGTGGGGAAGGCTGCCAAAGGCTCCAGTGCCGGGCAGGCAGGTCAGGAGGTCATTCCGGAAATCCAATTTTGGGGCGTCACCCTGCATCAGTTGCGGTGGGGGGAAAGGAAAAGAACCCGCCATAAGCAAAACGACTGGTTCCCCCAAGCACCATTTGCTCACATGAAGCACAGCCCGTCTTGGTCAGGGATGCCTCCAGATCGGCCCACCCCAGACCCTTTTCCTCCAGTTCTGATTTCCACAGCCCCTTTTTACCCAGACTCACAAACCCTGACTTGCATCCAGGGGCCGGCATGGACATCAGAAGAGCAGAAGAGGAGAGGCCTCTCCCATTGCTTGCAGTGACCCTCTGGCAGCCACCTGCAGGAGCTGAGCCACTCCCCATCATGGGATGCAGGCGGAGGGGGGAGGCAGCACAGGCCCACCCTACCTTCATCTTCTCCTGGTGCCGCAGGATCATATATGCCACACGGACATGCATGGCGCACCACTTCCCGGGCTTCTGCGAAAGAAGGAGGAAGGGAATGTTGGACTTACCAGGAAAGCCTCTTCTCATCAGTGGATGGCAAGCATCATAGAGCCAGTTTCTCTTCCCACTAGCTCTGAGGGCAGGGCCGGATAAATCTGTTTGCCCCTCTCCCTTCTGGCGGGAGGAACGCCCCCGCCCCACCCCCAAACCATTTCATGGTGCAGTAAAGCTGGGGCAGCAAAAAATATTATTTATCTAGTAAACGACTTCAGACAAGAAGTTGGAAAATGCAAGCTGAAAATGTTGAGAGAAGAAGACGGAGATGACAGGCATCCCCGGGAGACCAAAAACACTCAACTGAAAAAAGTGGCAACCAGATATGCTCGGCAAGATAGCCCGAAAGGTTCCAGGTGGGGACAGATACCCTTCATTCACTAATAAGAGAAAACACTCTCGATCGAGTCCAACGTTCCTTTCTCCACCAGTGGAGGAGGGTATTCTGGAGTGGAATGTGTAACTGCATTACAGGCACTCAGCTCCCTGCTCACGGTCTAAGGGGGCAGAACCCATTAGGGCACTTGATCCCTGAAGGCAGCATCCAACGAAGCAAAAGCACCCAACGTGGAATGCCCTACCAGAAAAAGCAGCTGCCCACGGGGGCACCACTGCACATTTCTTCCAATTGAGTGCTCATGCCAAGCACTGCAAGAGTCCCAGTTCTTCTGACAGGCTGTAAATCCTTCAAATGCTGTACTTTTATGCCAAGAAAATCAATGGTGGCCATGAACAGTGGCCTTGAATAGCAGCAGACCTTACAGATGATTAGCCGCCTTGAGCCTGCATGTCAGGCAAGGCAGGGTATAAATACAAATAATAAATAAATAAATAAATAAATAGAAAAAGAAAAGGCCTAGGACAGAGAAAGAGAGAGAGAGAGACTGTGGAAGTTCCATCCTTACTGGCTGGACGTGGACTAGTGGTCCATTTTCAGCCAGATGTGGAAGCAGTGGCAATCCCTGCCTAACCGATCAAGGGAAGTGGAGCTGCCTCATAAGGCTACCTTCTTCCACTGATGGAGAATTAAGGATCCCTCTGGTTTCATGATGTACGGAGAGAGGTTATGTTTGACTGACAAGGGTCCTAGCGACATCTTTCTCACAGATGTAATTGGAGTTAGGAAGGCAAGTTCCAAAGACAGAAACTTAACAGGCTCTGAAGACTCCTGCATTAACACCCTGTGCATGTAGTAGGTGAGAAATCTTTGAACCCTTTCTTGGGAGCTTGATCAAAGGCACTTCTTGTAGGAACTCCAACAGCAGTGAGGATGCAAGGAAAGTGGACTCCTCCTCCTTTTGCCTGAAGCTGTAGCAAGAGATTGGTGTTTTAGTGTGCCACAATGGAGTAAAGGAAGCTGTGATGGAATTTACCCCCTCACTTCTAGATGTAGCATCCTGTGGACTGGAATAAGGCAGCTTTTCTGGGCATTCACTAGAAGCCCACAGTATCCTGTAGTCCTCCAGACACCCACAAACCTCTGCTTCAGAGATGAACACAGGCAGAGATAAGCTAGACAGGGTAAAACACTAATGTCTCAAAGAAGCAAGATGAATAATTAAAACATAAGCGTTAGGAACTGGGCTGAAGGGTCCGCAGAATGGTTTTTGGCATTTTTGTATGGAACTTGCCGTTTCTCCACAAACCAGATGTCTGGGGTCCAGAACTGACCGACAACCACCGTTCTTTCTTGGTTCTCTGGATTTTTTGGCTATGGTCATGATTGAGAGGAAAAATGGATCACACTCCCTGCAACGACTCTTCAAATGACTCAGGAAAAGGAATAATACGGCTTAGAACTATAACCATAGGGGGAAGTCCTTGTGCCTCCCTGACTTGAAATACTCCAAGTATGAGACTTCTCCTGCTGATCTTCACTCAGTTCCAAAAATAGCCATAGTTTTTGACCAAAGTAGGAGAAACTGGGGCAGAAACAGCCCCTCTCCCCACATGCATCCCTCTATGCCAGGAGAGGGAAGGTTTGTGCCCGAATCCGAGTGTGAGGGTTTGGCTGTCTCAGGGCAACCCCCACGGACTTTGATCCGCTCCGGAGCAGTCCTTTGTGGATCGAGGGAATCCCATCCTGACTCCTTGGTGGAGCAATATTCTCTCTCTCCAGAATCCCAGAAGAGGGACAGGTTCTCTCAGAATACTGTTTTTATTCCCAGTCTGAGACTGAGGGAAGAAGGGACAATGCCTTCCCGTGCCTTGGCCTTCTGTTTCCCTTCTACAGCTAAACTGGCTCCGATATCTTTGACGAGGATCAAAAGATCCTCCTGCAAAAGTCTTGGTAGAAAAGTCTTCATCCACTTGCCAAAGTCTTGGTACGAGGCACTGCCGAGCGGGAGTCCGCAAAGAGCGTCCGTCATTTTGTGCTTCATGAGGCTGCCTGTGCGGCACCGTCCCAAAACGGATGTCTGGTCACCACTGCTGTTCAGGACAGTCAAAGATACTCACCCGGGGGGGGGGGAGAAGGGATGTGCATCTGTCTCCCAGCTGCTACTGTCCCTCCTCCAGGCTAGCGAGGGCCTGGAGGCTTTGCCGTGTTCTGTGGCCCTCCCAGCTAAGAAACGGCTCTGGGTCAGTGCTCCTAAAGGTGAGTCCTGGATGCCATATAAGGTGCTTTCTTCTGCACCTGTCCTAATCAGCTCTCTTTAGCAGCCGCTAAACCAACTGCTCCTCTTGGAGCTGTAGGCCTAATAAAAGGCCCTTTGCCCTCATTCCCTTGTAACCAAAGAGGTTGGGGGAAAAGAAGAAAAAACTTGTATATGAAAATATCAAAGCCAATTCCCAAAAAACCTTTGCCGTCTCGTTCCGGGGGGGGGAAATATTTCAGGAATAGATCAGAGAACCTCATAAAGCTCTACTGACAAAGAACAAGCAGGACGGACATTTGGGGTGGGGTGGAGAAGCACTCCTCCCACCAGAAAGGAGAGGCTCAAGTAAATTTACATGGGTCTGCCCTCGGAGCGAGTGGGAGGAGCAATCCACTCCAGGATACCCTCCTCCACCAATGGAGACCCTTCACAGCTTTCCATCACATCCCCCGCTTGGCCGGGCATACGCTGCCCTCTTAACACGATGCACTCTTCTCCTCCTGCCCCCCTCCCCATCGTGATCTCTTTCCTCCTGTCCATGCCAGGTTTGCCTCCACTAGTCCTCGATCCTCTAGACAGCCACCCCATTGCGTTCTGACCAGGAGGGATCCCAGGGTTACTCACTCTCAGCGCAGGCCTGAAAGGATCTGTGAGCTACAAGGAGAGAGAAAACCAAGTGGCGGTTAGCTGACATCTGTATGCCACGCCGCTCATCTCTGCCCCCGACCCAGTTCCTACAGATGGCAGACTCACCTGGGTCCCTTTCTGAGACAAGCTTGGTGGGACAGCGCCCAGACGGGATGGCAGGTCAGGATTAGTGCTCTGCGGGAGAAATAATGCCAGGAGGTTAATGAGACATTCCAAGGCCTGTCTGCTCTAGACTACTAGCTGCCAATCCCATCACAAAGAATCCGGGCTTAGAGCTGTCCCCCCCCCACCCAAAGCTCATTCCCATAAAGTCCTACCTAGCCTCAAATCTTCTGAATTTTTAAAATACAAATCTGCCTTCCCACCCAACCACACCTCTCTGAAAACCTAGGAGCTGCCCTTACCCCTCTTCTAATCGACTGGATTACTGGCCTCCACAGCTGGAGAGGAGAACACCACTGCATACACACCAGGTTCCTTCATATCACTTAAGGGCTGCTACGCTGGACTCTGCTTCCTTCTCAGAGTGGGAGACAGAACCCAGAAACCTCTAAGGACCCATGCCCAGACCCACCAGTCGCTGTGGGCTCCCTCCAAGCCTCACCCCCTCTACTCCACTGGGGTCTGTCCTCCACAGAGAGAACCCAAAAGACCTGGCCTTCAGCCCTCCCTAATGAAAACTTTGCTGGCTCCAAGGGAGGGGAACAACACCTAAGAGCCCCCTGACTCCTAAACTGCCCCGTTCCAAGACAGCCCATTTTTCTACTACGTCTGGAGGGTTCACCTTAGGTTGGAACGCCCCCTGCAAGGAGCCAAAAGTCACAGCGGGAGGCAGGACCGGGGGGATCCCCGACACGGTTGGGGGGAATGCGGCATAAAACTGGAAGAAGAAGAGAAAGCAATGGAAGCGCCACCCAGAGAAACCGGGAGGGGGGGGGAGCTGCCCCTTTCCCAAAAGGTCAGTCCCCTCGGAGATCCCTGCTCTTAAAAAAAAAAAAACCCCAAAAAGCCGCACTTACATTATGCCTCAGGAGCCCATCCATCTTGCCAGGGTACTTCTCAAACTACAGGGGAGAGGAAACAGGAATGCATGAGAGGAAAGGCCAAGCATCCCCAAACATGAAAACCTAAAGAGTGGAGACCTACCCCAGAGGCTGCAGTGCAGAGACATGGGCACATATTAGGTGCCGGCTTGTCCGCCCACCCCCATCCTCCCAGCAAGCTCCAGAAAGCTCTCACCATGGCTGGGCTGGGCGCAGGCACCATGCCTGGGGGGAAAGGGGTGAAGTGCTGGTGGGTGTGTTGGTGGGTGTGTTGGTGCTGGTGGTTGTGTTGGTGGAACTGGAAGGCCAGTGGGCGGATGGCGGCAGCTGCCATCTCAGGCCCACCTTGCCCTGCCAAGAATCGCGAGCTCAAGTCTTGTCGGATTAGTTCTTGTTCTGGAAAGGCAGAAATAAACATAATGGCAAAAGGGTTCACAGGACAGGGGGAGGCAAGAAGGCAAGCAAACAGAACAGGACTCCCCTTCCACACGACTTGTCATCTCCACGGAGCCCTATCCCCACACGGCCTGGAGTCCAGATTTCTTCCCTTGCCAGCTTCTAACACGCAGGAGCCAGGAGGATCTTCCACAGCCCAGCCCGCCACTTATCCTCCCCCGCAGTTCTTCTCCCCAAATGCTCCCTGAAGACAAAATTTCTACCCCACCATCACCCACTCGCTTCTTGGATTTGCCATCATATATTTAAACCTCCCTTTGATACAATGAGGGCCACAAACCAATTTATGAAATAAGATTCTAAGAAGCGGTCACGGTCCACAAGGACACGGTTTGGGAACCACACTGTCGGCCACCCCGCTGAAGCCATACGATTACCACCCCTTCCATCGCAGCCCTTGCAAATCTTCCTCGAGATCTGCTGTCGCCCAGACCCATTCCTCTTTTGGAGTCCCTCTTACCAGATATGGCAGCAGCTGCAGCTGGGTGCCCAGCAACTTGAAGCAGCGGGGGTGGTGGCGGGAGGCCAGGCGAGGGGGTGAACATACCGGGGTGGTGATGGGAAGGGGGGCGAAGGGAGGGTGGAAAGGCATGGGGAGGGAGGGCCAGTGACGGGGTGGAGGGTCGGTGAGGGAGCTGAGAGGAAGAGGGGGAGCACGGGGGGAGGATAGGCTTGGGGTGAGCTGCACCACGGCTGCACCTGGAAGAGGGAAAGAAAAAACTATGTTATGAGGAGTTTGAGCATAAACAACGGAAGGGGGAGCAGAGTGCACCACAGAAGCCAGAAACAGAGGAACACTAGGAAGGGCACTGCAGATATGAGAGATCTTGGGGTTCAAACCCCAGCTTAGTCATAGACTCAAGAAGGGGGTCTCGGATGTGTGACTTTTTCAACCTCAGGTCCCTTGTCAGTGAGGCAAGGGAACAACGATAACATCTCACTGAGGGACCGTCAAGAATCTAAAGCATCCTTTATTCAAAGTAATCCTACAGAAAGTCGTATTTACAACAAGAGTTTAGATTGCCAGGGTTAACCGGTCACACATATCATAAGAACACATAAGAGCATCTGCATTTTAAAACTGTCAAATCAATCTAACAAACAGTACAAGTATGAAAGGCATGGGGAAAGAATCAAGGAACACAATTTGTAGAAAGAAGGAATGGTATATATAATACACAGAGGAAGAATGGGCAATAACCGGTACAATCTATTGTTAAATTCTTTGCTTTAATTAACTCTTTATTATTGTTCTGTGATGCCAAATGGCCTAATTATTGTTGTGATCCACCCTGAGCCCATTCGCGGGGAGGGCGGAATATAAATTTGAAAAATAAATAAATATTTATAGGGCTGTGGTAAGGGCACATGAAGTACGTTGAACCGTCTAAGTAGTATTATCACCAAGCAAGGGACCCGTGAAGATTTTCTTTTTTTTGGCGGGGGGGTGTTAAATCCCCTCACAGAGACATGCAGATCTCCTCTCCCTCTCCAGGACTCCATAAGGTCTTACAGGACTCGAACAGGCCAGGTCTCCGCTCGTTGCCCCTTTCCCTTTCACAGACCTCTAATTACTCTCAACACGTCACGCATTCTGGAGCATGCTCAGTCTTCATGGAGCCATTTTTAAAAATATTTTTCTTCTTTTGACCAGTTTATTTTATTTTAAACATTTCTGTGCTGGTTTCCCCACCCACAAAGGGTCCCCCAAGGTGATGAAATGCTTTCGTGTTTTGCTGTTCAACACTAAAACGTTTAAAAACATGTAAACACACAAAGTTTACAAAGACACCGTTCTGCATACGTGGTAGTCCCATGATTATGTGGGACCCCACTTCGTTTGTGGTGTTCTGGTCTTGCTGCCTTTGTGATGGGTACCAGAAACCCAATTTAATACCAGATAGTAATACTTAAAGACAACAGATGGAAGGGGAATGTCTCATAGAACATTAACAGGGGAAATGGAAAAAATGGACAGGTTGAAGAATGAACAAAGAAAGACGGGTAAGGAAGACAGAGGGCTGAGTTTCAATGAAGAAAAACAGAGAATCACTTGAAACCAATAAGACAGAAGGACAGCAGAGAGATGGGCAAAAGAACAGAGTAAGCAATATGGGTAAATCCCACTGAGACTCACCCTCCGGTGCTGAGGTCCAGCCCTACAGGGTACTGTGTCTGGCTGGCAAAGGTTGGTACCTTCATGTGCAGCTGGTTCTGTGTGAGGTTGTGGGGGACTGACCCCCCCTGAGGCATCGGAGGCGGCTGGCCTTTGGGCTGGGGTGTCCCATGAACAGTATTAGGCGTCTGAGCCCGAGTCCTTGTGGAAGGTGGGGCAGGCGGACTGGGAGGCAAGGCTTGAGTTGGAACGGGGGCCACAGCTGCCTGAGAAGGGGGCTCCTTGGGCAGGAAAGGCACTATCAAGGGGTCCCGGTCGGCCTCGTAGTTACGCTCCTGGCTCCGCTCGAGGCCAGAGACTTTAGGGATCACAGAGAGTTTGGCTTCACAGCTCCCGTTTAATGCACCAATGGGTCCCGAGGCTGCAAGAAAAAATGAGATGGGAAAGAGAGAAATCGAAATTAGGGAGGTATACGCAACAGTCGAATAGGTACACTGGATTTAGAATTTGGAGGGAGATCCTAGTTTATTCACACACTCCTCAGGTGGCTTTTGACAAGTTACTCTTTCTCATCTGCAAGTACAAAAGAAGAGCAGTAATGTCCTACCTTAGACTGGCTTTAGGGGTGAATTAGATAAATATCCCTAAGAAATTGGTCCAAAAAGCAAAGTCCTATGTAAACAAAGTATGAAAGGAGTAGCGGACAGAAGCCTAATCCAAAAAAGATGCCACAGCCCAAAGGCTTTGGTAGGTGGTGCTTTATGAAGCACTAAGTATTATAATTATGAGATCAGTCCCTTGCCACTAGGGACCACTTGAGGAACTCAGAAGGGGTTTCGGCCTTTTAAAACGAAACAGGGACAACAAAAACTACTGCAAGCAAACCTAGTTTGTCTTACATTCCAGTGCACCTTTACCCACATGCGCGTGCCTTACTTGCTACTGCCAATAGTGTAGGAAGTGTCAGGAGGTGGAGGAAAAGTTGATCCAGCACCAGAACAGATTACTGCATGTCAGAATACTTCCTTGTTGGCTGGCCAAGAGACACCTCTCTACCACCAAAGTTAACCTGGTAATGTATATGCCCTGAACTGAACACCATCCCATCCCAGCTAGCTGGTCTGTGCCAAAAATCCAGCTGTCGTGATGCTGTCTCTGGCACAGGCCTTGTTGTTGTTCTCACAGCCCCCACACCCACCTTTGCTGGTTGAGACAGTGAATGACTGTTCGAGGTCATCAACGGAGGCCTGCCGAGACAAGAGACACAGTGGTTCACTATTTAGCCCCCCCAAAAAACAGATTCAAAACATGATGTTCATCAAATCAAATTATTTTTACACAAAATGAACAGCTGCCTACAAGCTTCTCATGGAAGGCCTGTTTTGTCTTCTCAAACTGGTGACGCAACAGCCTTTCACTCAAATGAAGACAGGTACACTAGTTGTACTAGAGCATGGGGCTGCCTTCTGTGTATGACAGAGCATGAAGGGTATTCTACACGAACCACCTCTGACACCTCTTGGCATTCCAGTGTTGGATTCGCTGCCAAATAATTTTTAAGTAAATGAAAGCATTTGGGATTGCTTTCCTTACTTTGTTTGCATCATCTTAAGTTAACGTATGAGTTGTTTTTTCTCAAGTAAAACCTCAGTATTCAGGTTAAATCGCCGTGTTGGCACTTTGCGATAAATAAGTGGGTTCTGGGTCGCAGTTTGGGCACTCGGTCTCTAAAAGGTGCGCCATCACTGTACTAGAGCATGGGACTGCCTTCTGTGCATGACAGAACATGAAGGAACCATCTCCGACACCTCTTGGCATTCAGAGTCAGTGCGCATGGCAGATTACTTTTCTGTGGGGCAGGCCTTTTAGAAGGTATGACGCTGAGAGAATTTACAGTAGCCACCTACAGCGTGCCACATTTCTGAACAGTAACTGCAATTCCCGAAGTCCCAAACGACTTGGGGCCTATATATTACAGGTTCAGGATTAAGCAACAGGCTACAACTTTTCTCAGAACTTTTCTCTAACTGTTCAAAGGAACATTACATTCACAGGAGCCACGTGGGATATCACTGTAGAGGAGCAGTTTTTCTTAACATCGGTGTGCACAGGAAGGGAATCCCCATGTCCTTCACACACGCAGTCTTCACTGCAATTTCTCCCCCTTCCTAGTACTCCCCCCCCCACAAAACCATATAGCTAAAGCAACAGTGAGTTCTGTAGAGACAAGTGAGTTCCAGACAGCTGTAGGATGGGGGGGGGTGTCACTGCCTACCTGCTCCTCTGGGTCACTTTCTGTATCACACTGCAGAGAGGGAAAAGATGAAAAGGGAAGTCAAATGGTGCAACCAATCAGAGCCCCTCCCTGTTAGATCACGCCCATGCCATATTTGTCTCTAACTGGCCAGGCATGAACGGATGCAGCTCTGAAAGGGACCGAAGGTAGACGTGTAATTTTGTTATGGCACGGGTATATGGGCTACATGGTACCCAGAAGAAAAGGGCGCTCAAATAAAACTTTAGAGAAAGCAACAGTGATGTCTAGCTAACATCCCCAATATTAGAAACTCCACCCTGAGGTCCTAAAGGAAAAACAACCAGCTGGTTTTAGAAATGGGGGGGAAAGCAAGTAGACTCTAAATTGTTGCTATCAAAGCTAGCTGAATTCGCTGGAGACTGAAGGAAACGGCATGCAGTCTAGGGGTTTTATAAAGCTAATCTAGCGCTGCAAAGGGAGGTTTCCCCAGATCTCCCAGCCCTTATGGGCATGCTGCTGCAACACAACCAACTAACATACTGCTCCAAACTGAGGAAGGGGAGGAAGGATCCCACAAACAAGGAACAAGAATTCTAACCCGCAGAAAGACACTGGCTGCCAGGACTCACTGAAACACTATGACCACAACCAAATGTTGGTGTGTGTTTGTGGGGGTGAGGGGGAATGATACCATGAAAATGTTAGATCCACTTACTATGGATCCAGTTTCCAGGAAGGATTGGAAAGAAGGCTGGGGGGGGGGGGAATTAAAAGGGAAGGGGAACAGACATTAGATTCATAATGATTACGACTGCCAATCCTACATATTTTTTAAAAAACAATTAAAATAAAAGCAAAGCATTTAAAGTCCAAGACACTTGTGAGATTTTAAGATATATGCTGAAAAAAGGAAGGAAAGTGTCTGCTTTACAAATGCATATTCTATATTCCCAAAAGATGAGACATAACATGGTCATACCAACCTACAACAAAGGTGCCCTATACAGAGTCAGAAATATAAGGTGCCTTATACTGGTCCATGTAGGTATTTCCTATTCTGACCAGCAGAGCTTCTCTGGGGTCTCAGTCAGAAGTCTCTATCACCCTATACCTAATCCTAATAAGTGGAGATCGAACAGGGTTTTATTAGGAGCACCCAACTCATGCACTCTCCCTTTGAGTCATGGCCCTTTCTTCGCCACTTCTGGGGCTGGCTGGCACATCAACTGGGAATCAACTGGTCCATCCTTTGCCCTAAAGTAATCTGGTGCTTGGGGAATTCCATAAATCCATTTGTTAGGCTGGTAAGCTGACAACGCTGAATGAGGTGCTGAGAATGTCTCCCTCTTCAAACAATAAGCAAAATTTCATTCAGTAGCTCTTTTTTATATTTAAAATCCAGGTATAAGCAGAAGATATGTGGTTATTCCATAGTAAAGGAAAGGCACCCTGTACCTGTTGAACTGAACTCTTTTTTCACAAGATTAAAGGCTTCACCTGGGCAAAAACCAGTTCAGAGAGCTACACTTTGTTTCAGATTAACCCCCACACTCCTTTCCATACATCCAGATTTATTATTTGTCCTGAATTCTGCTTGCTGTAAGTTTACCATATTAAAATCTGATGAACATTTAAGACACATGGGAGACACGTTCTGCAGCTGACATTATGTTCAGGAACATAATTCCCCAAACAAATTACCCAAGGAGGCAAACACTAAAGGAATAGTTATTACTCAGTATCAAGTCTTCCTGTCACAAGCCAACTCTATTCCACAAGCTAAAGGATTTTAAACGTAAGTTCTTAAACTAAGATATTCATTGCTGAATACTGTCAGGGCATCCACATACACCCCAATTAGAAGCCACTCCCCTCAGTCACCTGATTAGCTGCCTATGACCTCTGTTCTGACTGGACAAATACCCAAACACCACCTTGCTGCTTTCATTCTGTTGTCTACTCTTGAGCTTGAAGCAGGCTTTTGCTTACAGCTTTCACCCCGATTTCCCTTGACCCCACCCATGTGTCTTCCTCCATCTTAGCACCCCCCCCTTCAGCCCGAGGTCTCACCTCTTTGCGCCGCCTCTTGCTACGTTTTCTCAGTGCTCTCTCCCCACCGCAGCCTCGGCTGCGACCCTTTTCTGAACTCCCATCGTCGTCTTCTGGCTCAGAGTTGTTCCCCTCGCCCCGCTTCCTTTTTCCGGACTGCTTCATCCGAAGCTCCAGCCGCTCTGGGGTCTTCAAGGTCGCATCCTTCTGTGGGTAACCCGCAAAGGAACACATTCGTTAAACTATACTTATCCAGGACCATTCCGGGAAACATTCCTCAAGATCTTCCCTGAGCAGGATTATCTACACTGGCTCCCGGTGTTTTCAGCCACAATTCAAGGGGCTGGTTTTGACCTTCGAACTCCTATACAGTTTGGGACCAACATACCTGAAGGACTGCCTAATCCCTTACAAACACACATGACCAGATGTTAGGCAGGTGGCGACCCAGGAGACAGCCTTCTCGGTCATGGCACCACAAAGTAGCTTGCCCCTTTCTGTTACCCTCTTCTGCCAGTAGGTGGACTTTTTTGTTTCATTTCCCCATTCCCTCAGTGATCTCTCCTTCCTGACCAATGTTTTCATTGCTCTTTTAGGTCTTTGTACATATTTTAACTCTGTTTTCAAATTGTTTTAAGGATGTGTGTTGGGGGAATGGTTGATTTCAATGGTACTGAAGTGTCATGTCACTGCGTATGTTTTAAATCTTTAGTGGCCTCAGTGGCCCCTGTGAGGGTAGAAAGGCAGGATATAAATTTTATAAATAAAATAAGCAAAATCAAAATGAATCTGTTTCTACCATAGAAATGCAAATGTGGAGCCAGAGGGGGGAAACTGTAAACAAGAAATGTTGGAAAAATTGAAAATGACATACCGATAGTGGTTATCAGCCCTAATCAGGCAGTATCGGACTCTGAAATGCTGATACCACCACCTCAGATCTTCCTAGCTCAAATGCAATAAGTTCCCTGTGAAGGCACATTATATCCCACAATGACTTCTAGCAAGCGTACCACCTCAGATCTTCCTAGCTCAAATGCAGTAAGTTCCCTGTGAAGGCATATTATATCCCACAATGACTTCTAGCACATAAGCTTTTGAACCGGAAGTACTAGGAACGCAAAAGTTTTCCTCTCCAAGCCAGTTCCACCAAGAGAACGGAATCTGGCAAAACAGGAGATTTCTAAATTGCCACCCACCTGGCTGCTTGGGACAAGTAACACTTTTGTAAATGCAAAGAATCTGTATTTCCCCCTCTTCTTCCAGGCTGTTGATGTGCTACCAATGACTAGCATGGGTAAGAGAGGGTTGCTAAATGGTTTTGGTGAATTGCTTCCCCAAGTTAGATCGGCTTCACTGAAGGAAGACAGAAGCCAGGGAGATATGGAGGGTAAATCCTAACAACAAGCTGAAGATGTAGGACAGCCGGTCTCAGTAACTAGGCCTATCCCTTCCAGCTCTATAATTTCTCTGTGTGCTGTGCAGCTATGCACTGGATTCTTTCAGTTTGGCCGAGACACCTGTGTTCACACCCTGCCCCTCGCCCAGTCCTGCCTAACAGGAAAGGCAGGTGAAGCCAGTCCAGAATTGATCTACAGGCTCAGCCTCGAGAATTCCTGTGTTAAGCAGAGTCTTCTTTCCAGATTCAGACAGGCAATAGATTTGCTGGAGTTTTCGTGTCACCTGTTCTGCCTGTTTGAATCTGGAAAGCTACACAACCGAGCTACAGAAGATCAGCAAGCTGAGCCGTCCCAAATCCCAGCCTGAGGAGAAGTGTTTGGAAAGAGGAGGGAAGGGGAAGAATTTCCTTGCTATAGTCCAAACACTAAAACACACACCACAGCAAGGTCCATTTTCCATGCAAAGGACACAGTGGCAGCCCTGCAGCTCACTTGTTTACAAAGATGAGACTGCGAGCCACCCAATAAAGCCAAGGCTTAGCCCCATCCCCAGGCCTAATTTCAACTGGCTAAATCTTCCACTACTTTATATCTGGTGCCACACTCCGTGCCACGTCCTACGAAGTGTCCTGTGATCTCACCATGCAAGACAAAATATGAGCCCTCTTAGATCAAGTCAGACTATTGGCCCACTTAGTCCAGTCCCATCTTCCCTGATGGGCAGAGCTTCTTCATAGTGTCTCGTGCAGGTTTTTACCAAGCCCTGTTATCTGAGACCTTTCTATGTGGGACTGGACAGGGACTGAACTGAGATCCTTACACGAGAAATGCATGAGTTTATCCCCTCCCCTGCGCTAGTGTTCTACCCCTAACCTGATACCATTTCACCCCTCTTATAGCATTCCAAGAGCTGGGTCCTTGTCCCACTGTTGTGTTCACAGCTATTTCTAGGCACCAATGCTCCCTCTAAGCTGTGGAGTCCTGTGAGCAAAAATTCTACTTTGTTAGCTCCTGGCATTAAAGTTGTGAGCGAGGATTGGCTACTGCATAAATGATTTTGCTTTGGAGCCCTCCTTCCTGAGCGAAGAAAAAAATCTGTGAGCCGGAGGGCTGAAAACCTGTGAGCTAGCTCACACTAACTCAGCTTAGAGGGACCACTGCTAGGCACCTCATATTCTGCACACATTATGACTGGCCAAGGAGAAGAAGAAAATAGATCACTTCCATCCTTTGCATGAACTTTAACTTGATGATCTGTGTGCCTCCTCATTTGGGATGACTGACAGACTTTTGATACTCATCCCCAATGAAGCAGGAACTACAGGCTGACTTTGTTCCTACTGTATTTCCATTGCACTCGATATACAGGACAAAAATAAATTAAGTTTCCCTTCAGTGGTAGCTAACTTGAACACACCAAGAATCCAAGCAGTTTCTAAATATGGGAACTCCATAAAGAGAAAAACCACCTGCATTAAAGCATACCAGCATCCATATAGGTCACCACTCCAAGGCACCATTACATCCCACGGCACCTCACTTGACCCTGCAAAACTATGGATACCTATTATTTGGCTGCACTTAGTCCTTAGGCATGAACCTTGTGGGAACCCAGGTTCACCCTAATTCTTCTTTGCTACACCACCATCTCCCAAGACGCCCTTCCCCACTTTAGTCCTTACACAGCAGAACCCCTTGCTGACAGAGATCAAGGGAGTCCCCCCCCCTCACCTCAAGTGCCTCCAGGCTGACAAAGCTGGCAATGGCAAAGCCATCAATAAGATCCTCTTCTTCCTCTTCCTCCTCCTCCTCCTCACGACTACAGGAAGATCCAGAGGCTCTCTTCCGCCGTCGCAGGGGCCGACGGCGTCGGCGTTGCTGCTGCAGGGGGCGAGCTTTGCCAGGCGCCACAGGGGCAGGAGGAGAGGGCCCTTCACTGTCCGATCCTGAAGACGACGACGATGAAAGTCCCCGATGAGAAACATCCCCGGGACGGCTCCCTCTGCGGCGAGTGCAGCGACTCTCACGGTCCCGCCGTGAGCAACGCCGTTGCCTCCGGGCTCTGCCACTGCTGCCTCCTCCCCCACTCCAACATGGGGCAGGGGCTGCTGCTGTTCCTTCCATGATGGCCCTCTTGAGGTACAGAGAATGTGTCGTGCTGTGTCCTATGGGTGTGGCAGATGCAGCCAAAGGGGGGGGCACCCTTCAACCCTCACCAGCCAGTTGCATTGCAGCTGGTCTCAACAGGGCTGTTTTCTTCGGATGCCACTCAACAGAGCACCAATTCAAAAGGCAAGGTGACCCTTTTCAAGAAAGAATTTTAAGTCCTCCACCAGAAATGCCTTCCTTCCTCCCTCTTCTGAACCTTTCTTTAATTTACATTTACAGAGTCTACTCAAACAGAAGGCTCTTTACTTCACGAGTCAGTGCACCTCCTTTTAATTCCCTGTGACAGGAATGGCAGCTTCCTTTTTTTTGTCCTCCCATTAAAGAGAAGACCCTTAAATTAAAGAATTAAATACTTTCAACATAATAAAAACTAGAAATCAATTTGAGGCTGTTTTAACAGAAAAGCCCATGCCAATGCCAATCTCCTTTATTATGGAACATTGCCTTTTTGCCTAGAATAAAAATCTTCCAAACACCGGCACACCCTCACTTTTAATAAGGACTTTTACATCCCTCCAGCAACCATACAAAGCTGAGGGATGGGTGCCTTCCTCAGAGCACAAAGCAGACTTCCACTTTAAGTGCCTATATTTTTAAAAATAAGGAATTGTCCCCAGCCTTGGTCTTTTAAGAAATCAGGCCTTGTATGTACCCAAGAGCAGTAAGAACTCAAACAGCCTCCCCTTTAAGACTGCAGATGCGACTTCTGCCAACAATGGCAAATGGTTTCCGCTCAGAGGGCAGCCACTTCCTCCCCTTTGATGACGAGGGTTTCCATCAGCAGTTCTGCAGCGACCTCTCTTCCTCCAGAATTCCTGTTTGGCCCTCTTTCCCCGGGTCACTTCCTCTTTGCAAGCCTTCAACGTTAAAAGGACTCCTGGATCCTTCCGTACATCTTCAGACTTTGCCTTTAAGGCTTCAGATCCGAGAATCTCTCGTTTCCTCTCAATCTATTCCCCCCTCTTGGAAAAATCACGACAGTGTCCACCACACATTCCCAGCCAGGCGCAGCCACCCCTTTAAAGCATCTAGATTTAAAGTTCTTCCCCCGGTTTCCTGGTCAGGCCTCGTCTCCTCTTCTAACAATCGGGATTAAAAGCCCTCCACGTATTTTCCTCGCCAGCTCCAACTCCCCTTTAAGGCTCGAGCATTCCACGTCCAGAGAAATCCAAATTTCACCTTTAAGAGCCACCCCTCCTTCCCAGCCACAATGAGGGCCGAGGAAAACTCCCCTTTAAGAGGGCCGAGCTCCCTTTAAATCCATTGACAGGAGCTGGAATGGGGGGGGGGGGTTTGTTGTCCTCCGGCTGAAAGGGCCCCTCTTCTCGTCGCCCCCCTCAAAGCTGTACCTTTAAGAGCGCCGGCCGTTGAGGGTGCTGCAACGCGCGTACCCCCACCCTCGCTGAGGCTCGCGGCAAGGGGTCCCGCGCGCCCCCAACGCTGATTGGCCGCAGGGCTGGCACCCTCCGCTGTCTCGCGGCCCCCCCTCAGCTGATTGGCCGAGGCCGTGAGGTGAGTAAGGATGGGGGGGAGGGGTGGCTGGAATGGTCCGTCCTGAGGGAAGCTGTCGAGCGAGCGGCCGGGCGGGTGCGGCGACCCCTTCCCCCAAGGGCGGGGGGGGCTTTTGGTCGCGTCGTCTTTTCACCCCCTCCCCGCTCTGTCTCCGCAGCGGCCCTCGGACTCTCCCCTCTCTCTCTCTCTGGCTGTCGCTGCCGGATCCCCTTCCTCTCTGCGCACGGCACGCAACTCCGCCCACAGCGTCATATCCCTCCGCTCTTCGCGGCGACATAAGTAATAAAATCCCTCCGCTGGAAGAAAGAATTAGTCCCCCCCCACCATGAAACTCCGCCCCCCGTTTCGTGTTTTGGGTCTGCTACGTCATTTTAAATCCCTGTCCTGGCTTACGAGCGTCCCCACCGCCCTCCGCCGCCACACGGTGACGTCATAGTATAGCAAACCACATTGCCTCAGACTGTGATGCAACGCCCCACCCCCCCACGGCAAGCCGTGTGGTAGCCCGACCCTGTGATGTCATGCCGTACGGCAGCATGACGTAATGGCATAGTATCGCTTCCTCGCACCTGGCTGCGTCATCTCGCAAGGGACAACCTGGAGCTAAAAGAAGTGGGAAAAAGGTCAGCTCAGTTGACTCACAGCGAAATCCAAAAACAGAAATCCCATCACACCTCTTGCTAAAAAAACCCCACAAACAATCTTAGTAATTTAAAGTAGCAGGCAAGCTTTTGAAGTTCTACAACAAACCTGTCCAGGTTTCACATCCAACCGAACCAAGACTTCCACAAAACTTGAGAGCCAGCTTGCAAAGCATTGAGCTTGATCGGAATAAAAGGGTTATGATGACATTACTTGCTTTTGGTGAAACGATTTGAGAGGCTGGAGCGCCTTCTGTATATGGGAATGCTAAGCCAGTCCATTGTGAATATATTTGGGCGCAGTACTGAGTACCAGCACCTTTATGGGGTCTGGCCAAAGTCCTGAGGAAGTAGTGGACATCAGTGCCAACCTTATGAGTACTGGCACTTTTTTAAAAAAAAACTTTGAAGGTATATTGCCCTGTGGCTACAGAGAGAACATGAACCAGTAAAACAGTATCGATGCTTCAGTGCTAAAATGCAGGCTAGACTTTGAATTGCTGAAGCCTTCGTCATGCGGAACTAGACGGAAAAACTGCTCTCACAAGCACAGCCGAAAGGGATCAGAGACAAATGGGAGTCAGGAAGCAAGAAAGCCAGAGTGTCTGCTGCTGTTGCACCACCTATGAACCTGGATCCCCCGAGGCTAGCCTGGTGACAAAGGTGACGCACACACACGCGCACCAAGCAGGCAGCAAATTTAGAGTTTCGGGGCAGAAATCTTGGGACACACTTTCAACTGGTTCAGAGGGTAGCCATGTTGGTTTGCGGTAGAACAGCGACATTCAAGTCTAGTAGCACCTTAAAGACCAACAAGATGGGGGGGTATGTAAAAACTTTTGAGAGTCAGAGCTCCTTCAGATATTGACGAAGGCAGCTTTGACTCTCAATAGTTTATACCCAAAGAATCTTTTTGGTCTCTGTGCCAGAATCAGGCCTCCTTTGAGTTGCAGGCCCGGCTCTGCCCATCCACTCCTGGCCGTTGCCAGTTCGTGGAGGCGTTTACCGCTTTCTTCCCACTAGGGTACTCACTGCCACCACCTGTTTGTTTTAGGGATTTCTCACTGGGATGAACAGGAATCCCAGTTCCCCTTCCTGGTTCTGAGGCCTGGCCTCTGTGTCTCCCGTTACCCAGAGCGTGGTTACAGCGGGGACCAGTTGCAGCCTTAGGGCTCCCCTGGAGAAACAACCACGCGCCCACTGTTGTCCTCCCTCCCTGGGCCCCTCTTGCAATAGCGTGTCCAAGACAGTTGGAGGTCAAAGTGATACAGAGAACCACTGCCAGCAGCAAAATGTTTACAAGCATACTTTTAGCACAGCACCAGACTTAAAACGAGGAGGAACAAAAGGAATTGGTGGGAAACGCAATCCTTCTGTCCCTGATATAAAAATGTCTTTATAGAAAAAAATAGATCAGGCACAGATACTCTTACAAAGTTGCAAGTTTGTCCTCTCGTCGTTCCATTACCTGGGAGATCCAGGCAGCCTCCAGGGAGACCGTGTGGTCAGCAGAAAATGGCCACCGTGGAGAACAGCCTGGTCGGAGGTCTGTCCTAGCCTGTTCTGTCAGTCTCTAACATGCTGCTGGACTCATCTCTGACTTTTAACTGAAGTTGCCAACAGCCGCTTCTGCAGCAGTTGGGAGGGACAGCTGCTTTCGGGGTGGGTGAAAACAGGCCTGCCTACACATGGCAGCCACTTTACGGCAGTCCCATGCCATCCTGGGCGATGGCAACTGAAAGCAACCACTGGAGCAAGCCTGGCAAGACTTTGGCGTTCCTTTCCCTACGAAAAGTTATGGGGAAGAGGGGGAACGGGGCCAACCTGTTTGTACTGCGGTCTACTTTAGAAATCTGGTAAGGTAAGCAGATTACTAAAGAGAGGCAACATGTAGAGGGATCATAGCCAAGCGTTCACTGAACCACAACAGTGTATGGAGGGCAGTAGAGGTAGGGAGCCTTTCTCCACCTTTTAAGTTTGAAACAACAGAACTGGACCCCAGGGAAGGCAGAGACGGCAGTGGGCTGCTGTTCCACTTCCGTGCGCCAATCAAAGGAGTGTTTCAAAGCTTCGACCAAAGCCCACTGGAACGAATGCTATGCAGTATTTATTTTATTTAGTCTCATAGTTGGAAGGGACCGCCAGGGTCATCTGGTCCAACCACCTGCCCAGTGCAGGAACTGCAACCATAAGGCAGCTTCTGAGGGATTGCCATACTGCATATTGGGCAAGAAAGTTTTAAATACTCCCAGTCCAATGAGGTAAGTCACTCTGTTGTGGTAGTACTACAGGACAGAAGGTGACCTCAGCACGCATCTGTCAAAAGGCAGAAAGATTTTGATCTTAAAATCTTGAAAGATTTCAAAGTAGACAGAACTTCAAACTAGGATTAGAATAAGATGCCTCCTATGTGAATCACCTGTCATTGTTGTACTGCAGTGTCACTTGTGGAAAAATACTGTCATACCACAGAATGCCTGACTTCTCACTTGTCCAACATTGCCCTGGTTTTTCTCATTTCATTGTAGTTAACAAACTTGCCACCATTCCTGAAAGTAGACAAACTTGGGGCAGTAATTCAATTGTACCTATCCTAAGGCTTACAGCTCATTTCTATTCTCAATAGACTGCCTGAAAGACTGAATGAGCCCTTCACAAACCCTGTGTCTTCCCCAGCCCCCATGGGAACACAACAATGCCAATAAAGGGATGCAACTTGGGATAGACTTCTTTTAAAGCCAAAATGTTTATTAGAAATATAGATTAATACAAAAATGCAAACCATAAACAACTCATGCCTAACTGCACACCTTCCCAGAAAGTCAACATGAACTGGGAATAGTGAGGCCCTGATCCTAAATGAAGACCCAAACACTGCAAAATTCTCAGCTGTTTGTGGACTGTACGTTTTGCCACCCCGGATGGACGTATGCTCCTTTTTCAGACTTTTGGCACCTCTTCCTTTTGTCCATTTAATTTCTTGTCCTGTTAACAACCCTGCTACTTTCTCTTCAAATCTCTCTTTGTCCTTTCCAACCACTAGGCCTGGAAATTGCTTTACATTCTTTTTTTCTTTTTGCAGGGAGACTAATCCTAGAATGTGTATTTGTTCCCCACATCACTTTCTGGCAGATGACACAATGATATAGGGCACTGGACGGACTATATCTACCACCCCACCCAGCAGTGAGAGGCACCAACGGCATAATTGTGCCTAGGGTGAGCAAAGAGGCGGCTTCCCGACACCACAAACATCCTTCCTCTTGTGCTTGTGAGCCAAAGAGCTGAGTGGGAAGGATGTGACATGGTGCCAGTGCAGGGCAGCTTGGTGATTGGCCAGGTGGCACTGAGTGACACCAAAACCCAGTTTTCACAGAGACACTGTCCACGTTTTGAGTCTGATCTAGGATCCATGGAGGTTGTGTCAGTCTTCAGGGTGGAGCTGGCTTTGAGAGCGGAGACGACCACAGATGAAGTCTGGAGTGGTGATGGCCATTTGAAAGAAACTTGCTAGTTTGGAGAAGCAAGTACCTCTGAGGGAAAAAACGGGAGTGCAAAGGATCCTAAGGTGGCTACCCTTCTTCTTTACAGATGGCAAGCTCCATCCAGCTCAGCATTCTTCTCCCTCAAATAAGGCATCCAGCTCTTCCAGCCTCTGCTGCAGCATCTTCTCCACTTCAGGCGGCTGTGGCTGAGCCCTCCGTCCCCCTGTTCTGCGTCCTCCTCGGGAACGGGCTTTGCGTGGCTTGCGGGGAAGGCCCCCCTCCCGGAACTCCATGGCTCTTTTCAGCTTGCGTTGGCTGGTGAAGATGAGCGCCCCGTTGCGTTCCAGCGGCACCTCAAAGATCGTCTCGAATGACCTGCGGGGACAGGCACATCAGCTAAGAGGCAGGGAATCTCTGAGAGTCCCTAGATCAAGACTAGCCTGGCCTGTATGGAGGATCAGCTACAAAATGCTCTCATGAAATGCTTGCGACCAGGGTTCCCTCTGAGCTGAGTTAGTGTGAGCTAGTTCACAGTTCACATGTCAGTGGCTTAGAAAGTAGAATTTTTGCTCACAAATATATAGGCACCATTATGTATAATAAAGTTCTGGTCAAACACTTGGGTTTCTGTAGAAATCAGAACACGCTAGCAGCATCTAATAGAAGAAGAAGGATTTATACCCCGCCCTTCACTTGGAGTCTCAGAACGGCTTACAAACTCCTTTCCCTTCCCCTCCCCACAACAGACACCCTGCGAGGTGGGTGGGGCTGAGAGAACTCTGACACAAACTGCTCTTTTTCAAGGACAGCTGTGCCAGAGCTTGCGACTGACCCAAGGTCACATCAGCAGGTGCAAGTGGAGGAGTGGGGAGTCAAACCCGGTTCTCCCAGATTAGAGTCCACGCACTTAAACACTACACCAAACTGGTGTACCACTACACCAAAGAAAAGTTAAGCATGAAAGAAGTCTGGAGGGTGTCGAGACAAAAAGCCATGGAAGAATCCAGAATGGCTTTGTAGTAAAGAGAGGACAAGCTCCCCTTGGATCGAGCACTTTCAGTACGAATTACTTCTACATTAAGATTTGCTTTATCAACCTTCCGAACGAGAAACTTTTAAATGAAAAGCAGCAGTTATCACAAAAGCAGCTCAGATTTCATAGGGCGCAGAAAGTCAACTGTGCACAACCTGAAGTATAAACAGGACCGGGAAACCCGTAAAAGCCATGAAGTATGGAACAGGAGTGAGTGATTGACTCAGCATGGAATAACCATGGTCAAAAACTGAACTGTGACAGTTTGTACATTTTTATCAAATGCAAGCAGCATAGTTTGTACATCGCTTTCAGGCACTTCACATGCTGTAACCTGAGACAGCTGAAATATTATTTTAATACCAGCACTTCTCCAAAATGCTGATTCTCAGATATTGATACCCTTCCTGACCTACACTACTAGCGGCTGAGAAATTACACAAGAGTTTTTACAGCTTTTGTCTCACCTCCATGTATTTCTCCCCCCCAATCCCTTTTTTTGAGTAAGTTTTGCAGATTCACAGAGCATGTTTAGATTACGAAATTAGCATTCAGTGCTTTCAGTTCCTGAAGAAAGAATTCTGGGTTCCAGGCCAACCACTGTTTGACTGTTTCAGACTGACGGGGCATGTCCACACATGGACAACAGTCATATCCAGTGTTCCCTCTAAGCTGAGTTAGTGTGAGCTAGCTCACACTAACTCAGCTTAGAGGGAACATTGGTCATATCTGTGAAAGCATCGGTGTTCTGAGAAATGACAGACTCCTGCAACCTCTGAAGACCTCCTCACCTCTTCTCCGTGGGCGTGCGATAGTTCTTGTTGGTGTAGATCTCCTCTAAGCTGAACTCCTTCTTGTTCAGCCTGACAAAAAAGGAAAAAGCCCTCATCATCCAGCAGATCTCTTGCCCAGTGCCAAAAATGCATGTTCACCAACGCACGGGGATAGGGACCTAGCTCTGCTGTATGCCAGGACCCTCCAGACTCACACTTCCCATGAATGCTGGGATCTCAGCATACATTCAGTCAGGGCTCTTTTTGTAGAAAAAGCCCAGCAGTAACTCATTAGCATAATAGGCCACACCCAACAGCAGAAACGCATTAGCATATTAGGCCACACCCCTGACAGCACAGCTCATTAGCCCATTAGGCCGCACCCCCATGTTACCAGAAGTGTGCTCATCCAACCACACCCACCTTTTGCTTCTTATTCTGTTTACCTTGTTTGTTGTCAAAACCCAGGGCTTTTTTTGTAGCAGGAACTCATTTGCATGTTAGGCCACACACCCCTAATGTAGCCAATCCTAGTGAGTTCCTGCTGTTGGGTGTGGCCTATTATGCTAATGAGTTCCTGCTGGCCGTGGCCAACTCAGGAGCCAGCCGGAACTCTGTTCCTGTGCGTTCCTGCCCAAAAATAGCCCTGCATTCAGTGCTGTTCGATAAGGCCAGTACTGTCTCAATATGCCAGGAGCTCTGGTTCCAGCTCCTACCCCTTTCGGAACTCACATTCCCCAGAACTCTCAGAAATGCTCATCTGTAATGACCCATGAACGACAGTGCCCAAGAGTCCTTGTCACTGGGCCTCCATTAGGGAGCCAGAACGGTGTAACAGTTAGAGTACTGGACTAAGATCTGGGGGACCCAGGGTCAGCTCCCTGCTCTGCCCTGGAAGCTTGCTGGATGACCCTGGGCCAGCCACACACCATTCCAGCTTAACCTACCTCACAGCATTGTTGTGAGAATAAAATGGAGAGGAGGAGAAGGAGCCGTTATGGTCCCCCCATGGGAGAAAGGCAGGGTGTAAGTGACGGAGGTAATCTATATCTGTGGCAAGCAGAAGTCCTCAGAAAATACAGCTAGAGACCTCAACATTGGCCACCAGTCTCAGGACGATTGTGGAAGTCCAGTGCCAAACAGGAAGGGGACTTGGAACATCCTGGCCCATGCGGTCACCAGAACCCATCCACTCTGCTTGTTCCACTGGAAGCTACGGCTGTCTCTGGCAGGCACAACACCACTGAAATCTAAGCTAGGAACCTCAAAACTGGCCGCTGGCTTCAGGATGATCTCCCTTTTTATTTCCAGTAGATCCGAAGGTGCTCTGTGGCAGGTATAACTCATCAGGAAACAGAGCTGAGAGTTCTAAAACATCTATATGCGCCCCCTTGCCCAGAGGCATGGGCTGGGGTGTCACCAGTACGCTGATGACACTCAGCTCTATCTGATGTTGGGCGGCCGGTCCAACTCCAGACCGGAAGATCTGGACTGGGCATTACAAGCTGTGGCTGGTTGGCTTAGACTGAGCCAGCTGAAACTGAATCCGACGAAGACGGAGGTCCTGTGCCTGAGCGGTTTGGGGGTAGGGAATCCCACTCCCGACCTTCGATGGGGCGCCGTTGGTGCCAGTGCCAGAGGTTAGGAGTTTGGGAGGCCTCTTGGACGCCTCCTTAACAATGGAGGCCCAAGGTAGCAGCCACTGCCAGATCGGCCTTTTACCATCTTCGGCTGATTAGGCAGTTGGTTCCCTTCCTCGACCGCAACGACCTGGCAACAGTGATCCATGCAATGGTCACCTTGAGACTACTGTAACGCTCTCTACATGGGGCTGCCCTTGTTGCAAATCCAGAAGCTACAGCTAGTGCAGAATGCTGTGGTCAGGCTTTTGATGGGTCTCCCCAGGTGGGACCACATCCAGCCTGCGATGAGAACACTGCACTGGTTGCCAATAGCATACCGAATTCGCTTCAAAGTGCTGGTTCTTACCTTTAAAGCCCTATACGGCCGGGGTCCGACATACCTGAGGGACCGCCTTTCCCCATACATACCCCAGAGAGCACTATGGTCGGGGTCTCAAAATTGACTGACTCTCCCGGGGGGTCCCAAGGATGCCAGGCTTGCTATCACCAGCGCCAGGGCTTTTTCGCTGGCGGTTCCACACTGGTGGAATGAACTCCCCGAGGAGATCAGGGCCCTGTGGGATCTTTCACAGTTCACAGTTCTTCCACCAGGCCTTCAACTAGGAGCCACCACCACTATGCCATCAACAACCTTAATTAGAGAGCCCTGGTCCTTGGTTTTTGGCATCTAGCCTGTGCCGCCCTTCCTAGCAGAATGAGTGTTAGACCTCTGTGTACACTCTTTAAAGTAAGCCATCCTAAACAACTAATTAATCAGCACCAGCACTTTATGAATTATGTATAACTGAACTGTCTTTAGATGATCTTATGTGGATTTTAATTGTTATTTACGTAATTGATCAGTGTAAGCCTGCCCTGAGCCTGCTTTGCGGGGAGGGCGGGGTATAAATCAAATGAATAATAAATAAAATTCACCACCCGCTTCAGGGTGATAGTGGGACCTACAGTGCCAGAAATTAAGACAATCAGACCATCCTGGCACAGTTTAGCTCCCAAACATCCATCTGGTACTTGCAAAGGTTTCATCAAGAGCAGGGGTCAGTTCCTGCAGGAGCGCACTGGAGCGGAGCTCCGGCAGTAAAGAGCCCAGGGGACGGGCACATGCAACAAGCCCCACCCCCTGCTCCCAGCAGTCCTCAGTCAGAGCAAGAAGCAGCCAGATAAGTTGCAGAGCTTCCCCTGGCCCCCTGGTCCAGTGGCACCTTTAAGACCAAGTTTAATTCAGGTACAAGCTCTCCCTCCTCTGCGAGGGCAGATCTGCACGTCCCCCGTCCCCCCCATAGCTAGCAATCCAAAACAGTCCAGTGGAGAGCAATCCAAAAGAGTCCAGTGGAGCCTGAGCGGTGGGTGTTGCCTTCTGACACACTTCCGGTGATGTCAGGGGTGTGTGGCATAGGCAAATAAGTTATGCTAATGAGTTGTGCTAATGAGCTCCTGCACCTCTTTTGCTACGAAATGACCCCTGATCAAGAGCAGCCAGCAAGAGAAGGCAGCACAGACAGGGAGGGTGGAAAAGATCCTTTCTGTGACAAAACAAAGGGGGTTTAACCGATCAGCGCTTGTGTGGTACAGTAGTAAGAATGCTGGGCTAGGATCAAGGAGATCCAAGTCTGAATCTCCACTCTGCCACAGGAAGCTGCTAGTTGACTTTGGGCCAGTCACACACTTAGGGAGACCTACCTCACCACGGGGTGGTTGTGAGGGTGAAACAGAGGAGAGGAGAATGAGGTCAGCCGCTGCTGGGTCCCCAGAGGGGAGAAAGGCGGAGTATGTAATTCTGCCTACAGCTTGTGGCCATGCAAGCCTATCAATGTGTTTTTATGAAACATGAACTGTGCAAAGGGACTGTACAACATGGAGACCTGAGAATACCTGTTGAGACTGCACACCTAAGAAAGGGACGCCTTCCTTTAGGGTTGCTGCCACAGTGATAGTCCAGAGTCACCAGCCATCTTGCCTGCTGTGAGATGAAGCAGTTCCATAAGCCTGCACAAAGCCTCAGATGCCATGCCATGGAAAACATGAGGACAGAGAACTCCAGACGCCATTAGAAACTTCTTCCAGCACATGTAGGCAACCTCTCTTCCCCCCCCCTTTCCAGCTACCTACAAATCTAATCGAGAGACAATAGCCCTAGCCTGATGATTCATTCAGCCTTCCTGATTCAATCACCCTTCATCCAGGTGCCAGTCCTCAGTCTAAGTTTATAGCTCTCAATATTGACCACTCCTTAGACCCCCTCCCCTCTTCCAGCCAGCCAATAGTATGTTTTATGGGTGTCACAGGGGGATGTGGAGAGCCTAGC